GAAACTGGTCACAGAGATGGTGCATACGGCATTTCAAGAGCAACTGGAACCATCATTTCAAGCGAAAGAAGCTTGCTGATAGTCTGTGGTGGATCGGTAAGTGTTATATTTAATTGTTATATATATTTTGTCAACTGGATAAAACGAGGACTAAATCAATACAATACAACAGTTATTTAGACTCTTTATAGAGTAATGCATGTCGAAGGAAATGGGATTTTAAGCGATCATCATGTGAGAAGAGGGAGGCGCAGGGTAAGGTACACTCCGATCATGCCACAAAAATCATGGAAAAAGATAAACGAAAGAGCTCTCGTCACAAAGTCACTGTTATGAACCGAAATGTTGGCGAGTATTTGGTCGAGACTGGGCACTAGGAGGATGGGAGACGTGGGGGTCATCGCCATGAAGTCACCGTCAACTTTAAGACTAAAAAAAGGGGAGTGCTCTTGCCAGAAGTACCAGGGTAGAGGTATACCTTGTTCCCATGCAATGGCTGTAATAAAGCACAGGAGCAAAGACCCCGTCATTTCGTTAGTCCGTTCTTCAACATCAACTCACAAAAGAGCAGTTATCGTACGAGTTTTCGTGCATTGCCGGATGAAGCTTACTGGTCATCATTCCACCAATCGGTCTTAGGCGGGAAACAGGGGCGCCCGCGGGTAAAAAAGATTCCAAATGAGATGGATCAAAGTGGAACACCACTGCGAGGGCCAAGGCGGTGTTCCATATGCAAAGTACCAGGGCATGATAAACGAAAATATCCTGGACCAATTGGTCCTCAAAATCCAGGGCCCGATGTGGTGAACCCGGATAATGGCGTAAGATTGATTTCATGCATTTTCACAAAGTCTATTAATTTCAATGGTTACGTACTTGTATTTTGTGTGCTTAAATGACATTGGAGATTTTCAAAATTAACACACTTCGATGCAATGTGGCCAATTTTTGAAAAATAAACACATCACGAACACAAACACACTACATGATGAAGTAAAATATAACTTCAAGCAAAAACAAATCGTTCAACTTAATTTAAACAAAACATAACTTAAAATAAACACAACTTGTCACACTCATGCATTATTTCGACGATTTGCCCTCTGTTTCCTTGTGCGATGGGCGACTGGTCCACCGGGTGTAATAGGGGTTGGAACTGGTGGCAGATTCCTATTCACCGTAGAAGGGCGCTGGTCTGCGCTATGCTGCCGCGGTGCCATGGTAGGTGGCCCCTCCATGTGCGGTCGAGGACTATCCACGCTCATACGGTAGGGAGTGGACTGCCATTGTTGTTGTGGTCGATGCAAAGGTGAGAAGTCTTGGTGGGGACTTGAGTATGAACCATTGGCCCAAGTAGCTGAGGATGTGGCGTCATGAAATGTACTTGGCCGGGGATCATACTGGAAACTGGGCCGGAGATTGTATTGGAAACTCGGCCAGGGATCATAGTGGCTACCAAGCGTGGGATCATAGTGGAAACTGGGGCGAGGATCATGTTGAGTACTAGGGTCGTAGAAAGCACTTGGTCGGGGATCGTAGTGAAAACTCGATCGGGGATCATACTGAGTACTCGACCCTGCACCGCTGCACACCTCCAATGGAGTAGGCACCTTCCACGCCTCAATCGGCTTGATCTCTGGCACGTGAGGTCGATCCCTTGTAGCCTTGTTTGGCCTTCTATGTACCGGCGGAGGCACGTGGGGGACATCCTCCGTCACCGGCCGCGATGTAACTGGGGGAACTGGCGGGTATCTACGATGGTCACGTGAGCGCGCTCTCATACTGCCAAGGAGACTGTTTGCTATCCTTCGAATGAGCCCCACCTCTCGACCCGCAGCCGAATGATCTGCAATACGAGCGAGGTCGTGTATACGCTCGATGCCATCAACCTAAATCAAAGAAAATAACAACGTGAGCCATTTCAAAAGTTATGCACTGCATGCCTAAATAAATAAAGACTGAATTACTTACCAAAGCTCCGTCCGCCGCACCTTCGGGGGTCATGTAACGAACAGATTGTCTTCGGTATGTTTCCATGTATGGGTCATGGTAGCCCATACGCCCCACATCTGATACCGTCAAAATATCCTGGTCTTGCCTAACGTTCCACAGAGCGATCAATTCTACAAACTCCTCCGGGCAATTAGTAGATCCTTGTCTACCATCTTTCCCGTGGTACCCCCTCTGACTCTCCGGGACTGCCAATGGTAGGCATTGCTCACGTACGAATTGTCCTAGACATCGATCCAGCAAGTTGCACTCCACTATATGGTGGCAGATTAGTGGAACTCGAGTGCACCATTGACCAGGATGCAACGGGAACTTGGGGACGTGATGCGCGACAATGCGTTCTGGATACGGATCGAACTTAAGCTACGTAGGTGCAGAAAAAATGGATCATTAAGAAACATAATAATATAAGTTGAAAATAAAGCAGGAAGTAATAGTGTATTATGATAGTCACCTCTGCTTCCCAAAGGCGATCCTGCCTCCTACGATACTCCTCCAACTTATGCGCTCCTAGGTTGTCGCATGTTTTTTCACCAAGCCACCTATTAATTCCAAAAAGTACGTCATGTTAATACATAAAAAAAGTTTGTTATAAAATACCCAATTAGTAAAGAAAGGTGAGAACTATGAGTGAGATAGAAAATATTTACCTACAACCATAAGCTTCAGTCGTAGGGGATGGTCGGATCCCCATTCCTTGTCGGGGTCTACCTTCGGCACAATCCATGGCAAATGCTCCCAAGCCAAAAATTGGACAATGAACATGTCCCCATCAATCTCCGTCACCGCTCTCGCACTAGCATTACAGAGGGAGCGATAGAGATGAGCTAGGCAAGCAGATGACCAGCTCAGGTTTCCCATATCATCCCAACACCCAAGTATGATCTTCAACCATGAATTGCTGATTAAATTGTTGGATTTCTTGGGGAAGAAAAATCCTCCGATCATGTCGAGGATGTAGATACGTGCATAAATGTCTTTATCACGCTCCGAACTTTCCTCCGTGAGGGCAATGCCTCCGAACTCAGGGTTGTGCTTACGCCTGATCTCCGTTGTCAACCAAGTGATGGATAGTTGGCACTTGGACAATGGTGGATTACCATCCGCATCGTGATCTCCCTTTTCTGGCGGACACAACCCGGTGACCGTCCATATAAAATGCTGCCAACCACTCATATTTGCAACAATTTGAGGTGGTGGAGTAGAGTCCACACAAATAACATCACCATCGATGGGCAAATCGATTAGGATGGCGATGTCCTTAAGTGTGATGGTGTACTCGCCTTCACGAAAATTGAAGTAGTGTGTCTCCTTTCGCCATCTCTCTACCAATGCTGTGATGAGTTGGCGGTCGATCTTGATTCCATTAAAGTGCCTAATCGAATCCAATCTTGCCCTTTTTAGAAAGGGCAAGATGACGTCCTTCCATTCAAGCAAATTCATCGTGCCCCTATAGCGGACTATATGGTATGCATCCTAGAGAAAAACTTAACTATAAGTTGATGATTTATACATATATAAATATATTATAAGATGCAATATTAATTAAATCAAGGTTGTTTTAGAAAAATATACATTATCTAATAAACATTAATTTTAACATAACTAAAATAATTTTCAAAATTTAAGTACAATTATTTTTTGTACACATACACATAAAATCAAATATATTATCGTATTGATTATTTTCAATAAATTAAAGCAATACAAGTACACTCGTAAGACTCTTATGAGAGGTATACATCTCCTTAGAAACACAGTCTTTTTGATAGAAAAAGGGGGGATCCGAGGATCGCTTAGAACCCGATTTTCCCAGGTCATGGGCGGGATCATGATGATCTCTTAAGACCTCATTTCCTTCTACATGCATTTCTTTATAAAGAGTCTAAATAAGTGTTGTATTGTATTGTATTGATTTAAATTATTGAAAATAATCAATATGATTAACAATTAAGTAAATTATTGTACAAACAAATAAATTACTTTAACAAAATACAAATTACAAGTGATTATAAATAATATGTACCTTGTGGTCGTTCCAAACGTCACTTGAACGATGATTGCCTTGATCGTATAAAATAGTCGGATCAATCGGTCCTTGATCAACATAATATCGTTGATTGTATATATCAACATCCGGCCCAACCTACGATAGCATAACAACAACATAAATCAATTAGTATATAAATTAAATAAATCATTATAACAACAACAACAATTGGGTAAAATGAGTACGTACCGCTTGATAATCATCATAGTAAATACCCTCTTCTTGGATAAAATCGGCCATTTTTTCAGAATCCGGGCAGAGATTCAACGATTTTTTTAGTGAAAACCAAAGAAAAAGTTTTTTGAAAACAGATCGGACTTAGCCGCAACCAACAAAACAACTAATTCTAAGGTTTTTGGGTGGGGAGGGGGTGGGTAGAGTGAGGAGTTAGAGAGAGAGAGAGGGGGGGGTGTGGGTTTGGTGTGCAGAAAAGGGGAGTAGGGGGGGGGTGGTTATATAGGGACGAAGCCGCGTGCTGGAGGGGCGGTTTCTTCATTTTATCCCACCTAAAACCGAGCCTCCAGCACGCGGTTTACGTTCCCCAACGCGCAAACCGCGCCTTGGGGCAACGGTTTGACTGAGCGACGCGGACCGCTGAGCTGGGGGGCGGTTTGGCCGTCAGATTGCTTCCCCATCGAGTCGTCGCATGGGCCGTCACGTGGCGACGCGATTTGACAGATAGGAAGGGTCAAACCACCTCTTGAACGCGCGGTTTGAATGTGAACCGCGCTTTCGAGGCGCGTTTTGACTTAAAACCTCTCCTTCAAGGTGCGTTTTGTGTGGAAGGGTGGTATTTTTGGAAATTGTTGAGTACAGGTGGTATTTTTATAATTTTTTTTTATAGTGGTAGTTTTGGATTTTTTCCAAGTTTTACTAAAACTTTTATTTTTCCAAATTCATGAAACAAAGGACCTGTAGGAGCGTAAGACCCCATCCTGTCCCCGCACTAGGGATGATAATTTCGACTTGACCCGTTTTACCCGACCTGTTTGGCCTATTTTGGGCAGGTTTGACCGCCCCATAGACGGGGTGGGGCGGGCATGAGTACCTATTATCGACCCAACCTGCCCTGACCCGCCCCATTCTCGACCTGTTCTTGCCTAAATTACACGTAATTTTACTCAAATTACTTAGTAATTTTCTTTTATTATATCATATTTTAGTTATAATAAAGTTGTAAATAAGTGAAAATCTCAATTTCTCCAATAATTTAACTACATTTTATCACATTACGGTTTCTTTCTTGGTCTTTTAATAAAAATAACGAATATTTCTAATATTTTTCGCATAAACTACATACTCATTGGATCGACCGACCCCGACCAGTGCCTCTAATAAATTAACCGATCTGTACTGACGTGCCACAGGACGAGTATGGATATCGAGATATCCGCCCAAGACCTGCCCATTATCATTCCTACCCCGCACTCGAAGCTTCCAGTACTTCCCGAAACCCCTGAGTTTTCCACTCGTCTCTCTTCTCTAGCTGTAACCCTCTACCGTTCCTAACTCCCGGAAAATGGCGAAGCGTTTGATTCCAGCCTTCAATCGCATTTTGGTCGAGAAGATTGTCCCTCCTTCCAAGACTACCGCCGGCATCCTGCTTCCGGAGAAAACCTCCAAGGTAAACCACCAACTTTCATTCGCTTAACACCCCGTTCTTTCCTTCTCTTTCACTTTGTCGACTATTCGTGTTTGCGACTGCATTGCTTTCTTCTTGATTGAACTTCAGCAGTTGTAGTTCCTTCCCAATCTCTGTTGATTCTCCTTGCTAGACGAGCTGATTTACATCCGGAATAGTTTCAGCGGTGGCCGCTATTGTCTCTTGTCTGATCGGATTAGACGTGGGTTGATTACAATAGCTGTCTATTTTCGAGTATCAGTTGTAATTTGTTTAACAGATCAAATGGTCCACTTGATTCGAAGCTTCATAATTCTGATCCCGTGATTATTAAGTCGACGAACTCATTTGTGCATTTTAATTTATTCAATGGAGCCTCGGCTACCACTAGGCACTAGTACTATATGGCTATGGTGGAATTTGGAACTCGGTGTATCATAAATTTTTCGAGGATATACTGGCAAATCTCGTGGCTTTGGTTTTATGGCTCCGGTTTGAACTTGGAGTCTTTAATGTCGCAATTGTGGGCTGTGGCTGTGGAAATGCTGAATCCTTCATGCACGTCGATGATTGATGAATCCTATACTTACCTTGATGCGGAAGCAATGCTTGTTGGTCTAATTGATTGTGAGCTATCTGATTCTCTGCTTGCTGTGTGCTTGTTTCATCATTCTAACACTTGATATTTCAGCTGAACTATGGCAAAGTAGTTGCTGTGGGTTTTGGACTTCGTGACAAGAGTGGGAATCAGATTCCTGTGGCGGTGAAGGAAGGAGAGACGGTTCTTTTGCCCGAGTATGGAGGAACTGAAGTGAAGCTTGGTGATAAGGAGTAAGTTCTATTTTCTTTGGGATGTGATTAGTCTTTGATGAAATAACAAGTTCATTGAAGATGATGGGTACTTTAACATTTCCCCCCTTAATCTAGTTAGTTTGCAGTTTTAAAACCATTGACAGCTAAATGTATGGTAGTGTTGAAATCATTGCTTTAGCGAGCTAGTCTAAGAATAATCTCTGCTATATATAGAAACATTTCTGGGTCATAGCTTAGTCGCATTGCATCAGGTTCTGGTCTCATACAGACGCGTTGCTCCTTTGGCCAAAATGAAATCTGTAACTGTGGCAGCTGTTATTCATATCAATGGGGATGGGAGCTTGATATCCTATTACTTCTTCGTTTCTGTTACTTTGCCTAAGTTGAAAAATCTATACTTGCCTTGGCTTACATGGTTGGCAGTTAGATTTCTCCTCAGCTTGAGTGAACTCTCTTCTTACCTAAACGAGCTGCTGATCAATTGCTTTGTTTATGACATTGTTTAAATTTTCAGGTATCATCTCTACCGGGAAGATGATATCCTTGGAACTCTTCACCAAAATTGATACAGGAGGAGCTGTACCTCGCATTGATGGAGTTGGGGCTTTTCTAGTGTTGAAAACTGGAAAGTTAGATTTTTAAGCTTGAAAGTTCTGGCATTAGGCTTCACTCATTGGGAAAACATGATTATGAACCCTGATGTATTTACGCGTACTTGAGATTGCTGAAACGTTCCACTTTTGTTCTGTCGGCTGATGGCGGGAGGGCACGACCTTATTTACGGTCGTGCGACCTTAGCTCTCAATTCCATTAGAGAACTAAGCAGCCTTCTCTCAAACTTACGAGTAAGCAAAGAAAGCAAGAACAAAGACAAAGAAGATGGGAGAACTCTCTAATGTGTATTACTCTAAAAAATGATGGAATGAGTTACAAGTGAGGGAGATGACTCCTTATTTAGGCCTCTTCTCATACAAGGCATCAATGCCCCTCATAATGTCCCTCTACATCAATACACTCATTAAGTCCCCCATTATGAACTCTATAAATGTCACACATTATGTGACTCATCAGTTTACCATTAAACTTCCATTTAGGTGGAGAATCCTAGGAGCATTTCCATGCTACTAGTCTTTCATACATGCCACGTGCAGTGGCCATGTTGTCACCTTGTTGGCGCCATGTCATCCACCACATGTGACATCCTCCCCCACATATGCTCGCGACGTCCTCGTCGCGTCCTCTTTATGAAAAGTCATGATTAAGTCCTTGTTCTTCTAAAGCGTGAGCACTTTCTCCCAAGTTGCCTTACTTTTCGAAAGGTTGTGCCACTTGACCAAATATTCCATGAAGCTTGGATCTATGCCACGACGAGGAATGACACGACGTGCCATGACTTCTTCGACTTCATAGTCGTGTGTCTTGGTGACCAGTGTTGGTGCTCGATGCGCCTTTCTCCGCTGATCGTCCTCCTTATCTTTGTTGAAAGCCTTGAGTTGGCTCACGTGAAAGACAAGATGGATCTCTAAGTGCGACGGCGCCTCCACCTTGTACGCTACCTTGCCAATCCTCTTCACGACCTGGAATGACCCTTCATATAGCAGTCCCTTGTGCACGTTTTGAGATGTTTGAAACGATGAGGGTAGAACTTCACCATCATCATGTCTCCCTCTTCAAACTCCAAATGCCGCCTCTTCTTGTCCGCCCATTTCTTCATCTTCTTACTAGCGCGGGCTAGATAAGACTTGGCCATCTCCATCTTCTCGTGCCAGCCTTTAGCGAACTTGAAGGCTGCCGGACTGTTGCCTCTATACCCCGTTGCCACCATCGTAGGCATCAATGGCTGCTGCCCCGTCGCCAACTCGAATGGACTCGTGTTGGTCGACTCGCTGCGGTGCAAATTATAAGAGAACTATGATGTGTCCATCAGCTTCACCCAATCTCGCTGGTTAGCACTCACATAGTGTCTCAAGTATACCTCCAGCAAGGTATTCACCCGCTCCGTCTGTCCGTCGCTTTGCGGATGAAATTCCATCGAGAAGTCAAGTCAGAGCTCATGATCTTGAACAATTCTCGCCAAAATTGGCCTATGAAGCGCCCATCTCTGTCGCTCACGATGTTGCTAGGAATGCCCCAATACTTGACCACGTTCTTGAAGAATAGCCACGCCACATCCTGTGCCGTCATGTCTTTTGGCCCAGGAATGAACATTCTGTATTTCAAGAACCTGTCCACCACAACCATGATGCAACCGCATCCATCGACTTTGGGTAGTCCGACGATAAAGTTCATGCTTACACTCTCTCATGGTCGTTGAGGAGTGGGCAAGGGCTCTAGCAAGCCTACCAGGCTTTTCTGCTCTATCTTGTCTTGTTGGTCACGAGACAAGTCTTCACATACATCTCCACGTCGTCTCTCATACGCGGCCAGAAGTATGCCTCTTCAATGAGTTCTTGCGTTCTCTCGATGCCAGGATGATAAGCCCACTTGGAATCATGACACTCCTTCATAATCTCCTTCCTCAAGTTGGCCGAGTTCTTGCGTTCTCTCGATGCCAGGATGATAAGCCCACTTGGAATCATGACACTCCTTCATAATCTCCTTCCTCAAGTTGGCCCATCTTGACACGTACACGCGCTTTCCCTTAGGCATGATTAGCCAATCCTTCATCCAAAACCGTCAAGTCTTACCTTGCTCGATGTACTCGACCACGATTTTGGCGAATGGGTCATGGCCAAGGCCTTCAACGATCCACTCCTTCAAAGGAAACACGGGTTGGCTGATGCGTGTGGCTGCACTCTTGCGCCTAAGAGCATCTGCAACGGAGTTCGCATTGCCTGGATTGTACTCCATCACAAAGTCAAACTCGGCCAGAAAATCTTGCCACCTCGCTTGCTTAGGGGGTGAGTTCTTCTACATGAGAAAGTAGCTCGTTGTCACGTTGTCTATCTTCACTAGGAACTTTAACCCCCAACAAGTAGTGCCTCCATGTGCGCAAGCAATGCGCCAAGACCGTCATCTCCTTCTCTTGGACCGTGTATCGCTTCTTCGTCTCGTTGAGCTTCCAACTCTCAAAGGAAATAGGATGCCCATCTTGCATCAAAACACCACCAATCACGAAGTCGGATGCATCAGTTTGCACTTCGTAGGCCAACGTCGAGTTGGGTAGCACGAGCACGGGCTCCTTCATTACCGTTGTCTTCAAGGCCTCGAATGCTTCTTGGCACCTTTCCGACCACTCCCAAACCTTGTTCTTCTTCAAAAGATCTGTCAAGGGTGCTGCAATGTTGGAGCCCATGTTTGATCGGTTGTTTGAGCTCTTGATTCCGTAGGATTTTCGAAAATGTTTGTTCTTTCTTGGTGCTGACTATTTAGGAAATTTCGTTTCGAAGCCAGGATGGAAAGCTTTAAGGGCAGAGCTTCTTCCACGGGGAGGGGATGATGCGATTCTCAAAGCACAAAAGACCCGACCAGAATGTGAAATCCTCGATCGGGGAAATGGAAGGAGAGACCGGGGAATCTGTCCAGGGATTTTCCCCGGCCAGGATAGCAAAATACCCGATCGGGTATTTAGACCGGGTTTCGGGTCTGACCGAGTCTGCCCTTCCTTTTCGGTGTAGGTTTTTGTTCTTTTTTGGGTTTTTGATTATTTTATTTGCCCTTGGCTATATAAAGGGTTGTAAACACGAATTTGAGATATTAGAGAGTTTTGTTGAATGAAAATTAACTCTGAGGAGTTTTCATCATAGAGCATGAGTGCTTATGGTTTTAGCTATCGGTGGATTCCATAGCTAGGGCAAGATCCTTGTTTAAGTAATTCTGAGGATTCTAGAAGAGCTTGGCTATTCTCTTATCAATCAAGCGATCACACTTTATTGTGGCGAGTATCTACCCCCACGCATCCTTTACTTTTCTAGTTGTTGAGAGAAAATCTAGAAAACCCTAAAAAGATCAAAGTTGCGCGACTTTGACAGAAGAACCAAAGCTTTCACGAGTTTGGGATCTTATGAAGATGACTTAAAATGTAAAAAAAAAAAAATCAAATACAAACAGATAGATTGGTTCTGACACATCAATACGAACAAATATATTAGTTAAAAAAACACGTATAATGAATAGTAACACATATATCGGTTTTTATTTGAGTGCGAGCGAGAGAGATGGTTCAATCTGAAGAAATATATTGATTTAAGCATATCAATAAAAAATACTTTATAATGAATAGTAACACATATTATATAGAAAAAAAGAGGTAGGAGTAAAAAAAGGATTGGAAAACATGATTGAAAAATAGAAAGACATAACATGTGAGGGTAAACATGATTATTTACCTTAAAATTTTGATTCTTTACTCTAAACCCACTTAATGAATAGTCTACATGATTAATGTCCTCAAATTTGTGTTTATTAATGAATAGTAAAATAGCAATTAGCAACTCTCCTTTTTTATATATACCAAAAAACGAACAAACAAACAAATATTCATAACTATCTGAAAACAACCCCATCTTTTGTAAGCTTATTTTGGCCCTGCTGTAACTTTTGCAGAAGCAGCTTCTGGCTGAAGCTTTTAGATAAGTACTTTAAAAAAAAGCAGTTGAGTGTTTGGCTGTAAAACTATTAGAAGTGTTTTTTAATATAAGAGGTTATGTAAAATGACTATAAAGGACTTATAATATAAAATATGAATAAAAATTCTAAACAATAAAAAATAGTCAAAATGGATCTTGTTAGATTTCTTTTATATTAAATAATATGATTTTATAATTTATTTTATTTTTAAAATGATATAAATGAAGGAAAATATATTTTCTGAAATAAAATTAAAATATGGTAAGGATAATCTTGTATTTTCAAAACAGCTTTTCGCAGAAGCTCCAAATTATGTTATACAAAAGCGCTTTTCGGCTTTTCAAAAGCCGAGCTTTTACAGGTGTTTGACCCTGCTTCACCTTTTGAATGCGAAAAGCTCTTCTAAAAGCCGGGCCAAACATAGTTAGATAAAACGTAATTTGGAATCCCGCTCGCAGCCGTTAGAGGCAGTTAAACCAGGAAGATAAATATTCTATCCAAAATCCAATTCAGGGCAGATAACACAAGAGAGGTCAATCAATCCCGAATAAAAAACTTGCCGCCTCCCAATTCAATCCCTTTTGCCCTCTTCTTTCCTCTACTTCCATGGCTTCTCTACCTTCCTTCCCCTCAACCACCACTTTCCAGCCTGAACCTTCTCTGCTGCAGAAACTCTCCTCTATTGCTTCTCTTCCCGCCCAAAAGGTACTCTTCTATCTCTTATCTTATCTTCTTCTCTCACAATTCGCGCAACTAAACGGATGCATACGCAAAAGCTCGATTCCTTACTTCCCAGTTCATAGTTTGAGCTTTTTTAACTGGTTCCAATCTCTTTTCATGGCTAACATGAGCCTTAAGTCTTTAACTGGCCTTTACTTTTCCTTTTCAGAACGCTTCGAGCCAGAGCATTTCGTTCCACAGAAATCCCTTGACCACCCAGTTGAATGGAGCTACGGAGCAGAAGAGATATATTGATTTCCGGGAAGCGCTGTCTTTGATCAGACGAGGCACCAAGTTTAAGTCCCAGGTTTATCACCCTCTTCTCCAGCATTGCATCGATAAGAATTCGGTCTCGGAAGCGGAAATCCTTCATGCCCACATGATCAAGACAGGAACCCAGGAGCAGTTCTTCTTAATGACGGCGCTGGTTAACGTGTACGCGAAATGTGGCGACATGAAAAGTGCTCGCAAAGTGTTCGACAATTTGCCTAGGAGAAATGTTATCGCCTGGACCACCCTGATGTCGGGTTATGTCCAGAACTCAAGGCCAGAATCAGCTGTTGAAGTTTACCGAGAGATGCTGGAAAGTGGGTCTCTTCCAACAGGTCATACTCTGGGGATTGCTCTGAATGCTTGTTCTGCATTGAATTTGTTGGATCTTGGCAGACAGTTTCATGCGTTCATAATCAAGTACAAGATTGCGCATGACCCTAGCGTTGGAAACGCTCTATGTACTTTCTACTCAAAATTTGGCTGCTTGAAGTCTGCCGTTGAAACTTTCAAGGGGATTGAAGAGAAGAACGTCATCTCGTGGACTGCGATTATAACTGCTTGTGGAGATAGCAGCGATGCGGCAAGTGGGTTGAGATTTTTCATCGAGATGCTTAAGGAGGATGTTAACCCTAATGAGTTCACATTCACTGCTGTGATAAGCCTGTGCAGCGTGCTGCTTGCTTTGGATACAGGAGCTCAGGTACATTCACTAGCTATCAAGCTTGGGTATGAATCCAATATCCAAATAATAAACTCAATCATGTATCTCTATCTGAAATCTGGACGGATCGACGAAGCACAGAATTTTTTCAACAGACTGGAATCTGTGAGCATGGTTACATGGAATGCAGTCATTGCAGGACATGCACAGGCCATTGATGTAGCAAAGGATGAACTTTTGGCTCACAGGAGCGGCACCGAGGCATTGAGAAACTACTTTCATTTGAACCGCTCTGTATTGAAGCCTGATCTCTACACCTTGTCGAGCATCTTCACAGTGTGTGGGAAAATCCTGGCAGCAGAACAAGGGGAACAAATTCATGCTCACACCATCAAAACTGGTTTCTTATCAGATGTGGTTGTGGGAACTGCATTAGTTAACATGTACAGCAAATGTGGAAGTGTTGAGAGAGCAAGTAAAGCCTTTCTTGAGATGTCAACTAGAACTATGATATCTTGGACAGCCATGATTTCAAGCTTCGCACAACATGGTTGGTCTACTCAGGCTCTGCAACTCTTTGAAGATATGAGGCTAGCTGGAGTTAAACCGAACCAGATCACGTTTGTGGGTGCTCTGGCTGCATGCAGCCATGCAAGAATGGTCAACGAGGGGCTGAGATACTTTGAGATGATGAGAAAGGAATACCGAATCAGACCTTTGATGGACCATTATGGATGTATGGTTGATTTATACGTGAGGTTGGGCAGGATAGATGAAGCTTTCAATGTCGTCAAGAAGATGGATTTCCCACCAAATGAATTCATTTGGCTGGTTTTGATTTCAGGATGTAGGGATCAGGGAAATGAAGAAATTGGGTTTCATGCTGCTCAGCAACTGCTCAAACTGAAGCCTAAAGATCCCCAGATTTATTCCATTCTGTTGAATTATTACGCATCCGCCAAAAGTTGGGAAGATGTTTCAAGACTCAAAGAATTGATGAAAGAGGAGAAAATAGGAATATTGGAAGATTGGAGCTGGATTAGCATTAAAGACAAAGTCCACTCCTTCAAAACAAGCATCCAGCGGGCTCCTGGAAATGCTGGGACATTAAGGTTGTTGGATGAACTGCTGGACAAAGCGAGGAGTCATGGCTACATGACACACGCAGCTATGGAGGTGAATAATGAAGTAAGAGAGGAAGAAATGGAGCACGACCATTACTCTTCTGCTTCTGCTGCTAACCACAGTGAGAGGTTGGCTGTGGCATTTGGGTTGCTAAATATTCAAACTGATGCCCCAATAAGAGTCAACAAGAACACGAGAATGTGTAGAGACTGCCATAGTTTCATTAAGATCGTCTCGAGTATGAGCAGTAGAGAAATCATCGTTAAAGATAGCTGGCGCATTCACAGGTTTGCTAATGGGCAATGCTCATGTGGAGAGTTCTGTGGTCTCGTATGATTACAGAAAAGGAAGTCAATCACCATTTTTCAAGATCAAGCTCTTCTATACTATGCAGCAACATATTACATGGCATTTATAAGACCAAAACATATATCATGGCGAACAACAACAGGCAAACAAACCACATGGTACATGAGTCATTGGTCAAGAGATCCAACCTCACTTTCCCTACTAGACAAACTCGGATGATATCGAACCTCAAAACAACTCAAAAGGATATAAGCTTATGTTCTGGGCCTTTGATTAAAAGTGGGTGACTAGGCATTTCTATTAGTCATTTCAACAAAAAAACTAATGTCATTAACAGAAACTTATGGAAGGTAACAGTCAATAACCGATCACCAAATATTAAACTAGTTTCAATGGCCACAAATGAAATAAAATATTGTTGGTGACAAATCTAAAATAATTTAATAATATTTCGGACAACAGATCCTCCATGGCATCGTTGGCAACAGATCCTCCAACTCCTCTCGACCCACGGTACGTTCGACGAGCACGTTGTCGCCCCTGATGAGGAAGTACTCCCTGCCGGATGTCGGCGAGTCCATGGTCACCGATCCCGACGGGCTTTCTAACGTGGCGTACATCCTCCAGCACCACCATATTGAAAGAAGTTATTTGCAAAGACACGATTTATTGTTCGCCTAGACACGAAATTCTTGTTCATTTAGACTCAGAATTACTATTCACCCTCCTTTGATTGGTTCCTGGTCTGCAGTTGGGCCTGCCGTTATTTGTCCTGCTTTGTTTGCTGCAGGTATTTGTTGTGGGTAGCGAGCCGCCCTCAAATCAACACTGTTTGGTTCCACATGGGAGCTGTCTCGGGAAGCGTTGTTTGCGATGAAAATCGCGTTGCCCACAAATGCATGCCACTTTTCGCTGATCTCCTTCTCCTTCCATCTCTCCTTGAGATCTCTCTTAGGGCTTGCTGATTAGTCAACTCAGCAACTTTTGCTTTGCAGTCTGCTTAGTGTGTACTGGAGCGGGCGTGTCGACGCCACTGAGCGGGGTGACACAAGGAATTGTTCACCCACACTGAGTGGACGGAAAGCACTAGCCCGTTTTGTCCAATCAAGGTAGGGGAAGGAGAGGTGATGGCTTGGCGGTAAGTCGTGCGAAAAGAAGCAGAGAAGGGAAAGTGGACTGGGCAGTGATCATAAATGTGCACGTTCAAAGTTCTTCCATATCAGGTATTTTATTCCTAGGACTATGGTTCTGCTTTTGTGCTTTTGCCTCCCCAGTATTCGATCTCATGTTTCCATTTCGGTATCTCTTTTGCTGTAGAGTGAACCAGAGTTTCCTGATTTCTTCTCTTCTCTTTCAACTGTGTGGATTTGAGTGGTCCAAGGACTTGATTCGGAGAAGTGCAGAGCGTGGGTTCGAAGATTCGGCAGATTCGGCAGATCCCTAGGTTTTACTTTCCCTTCAGGTGATTATTCCTTTGTTCTCTATATATTTGTTCCCTCAATTTTCCTTGATGGGTTCGTTCTATCTCTTTGCCCATAAGGCTTTCTCAGAAACTTTTCTTCACTGAAAGCTCTAATCAAGTTGTTTCTCTCACATTCTCACCTGCGAACACTGGAATCGGAGAGGAGAGGAAATTGAAAAGATGACTCAATCCTTTCCAAAAAATGAGAGTTGGGGGTGAACCAGCGAGCCCACCGCGGAACGACGAGGTTCACGACGGAGGGTAAAAAACTTTGTTTGCTTAATCTAATGGTTATTAATGGTTCGAGGTTGTTTTTTTTTTTGTTTTTGATTCGTCCCTCCTTTTTGTTAGATCCAATTTATCTCGAGAACCCTAAACCCTAAACCCTAAACCCCCCCTTCAGTTGTTGAATGATGATTCCGTGGGTTTTTCTTCTTTCCTTCATCCCCCAATCGAAAATGAGTGTGGATTCAGGTTGATTGATTCACGGGTTTGCGAGATGTTGATGGAATGTCTCTGGACAGTGTCGTTGGAACACATATATGGATTCCGAGGTTGGCGTTGGTAGTGTTACTGGCGAGGAACTCAGTTTGTGAGTTAAGCGAACCTCAAAAGAAATCGGGTGGCTGGTGGCGGATTCGAGAGGCTGTAGGTGACAGTGGAAGAACGCTCAGATCTACAGGTTCTTTTGTGGTTTCTTCCTCCTCTCTTCATCCATGATTTTGTTCTCCTTTGAATTTGGGGTTTGTTAATAATTAGAGTTTATTTTGATTTCTTTTCGGCAGAGATTTCGTACAATGAGGCAAGCAGTGGGAGTTTATTGATACGCCGTTGTTGGGGTGGTGTGGGTAACATCAGGGGATTGGAGTTCCAGAGGGAGTCGCTGTAATTAGTGAGGTTTGCCTCATAATCCCCCATTTGTGTCTTTCATTCTTTTTTTTTTTCTCGAAATCCAGTCGTTTAATGGTTGTATTTGTTGTTACCTTCGGTAGATAATCATCTGGTTGACTGTCCGACTTGATGACCTCCACGGGAACTATATGTCTATATTTCCAAACTCCAATGTTCAGTTTTTCGGAATGTAAATCCCTTTCCTCAATCTCGACAGATCGATTCCTCTATTTTTATTAGTCGAGTTTTTTCTGATTTGAGCTTTCAAATGCTTTGTTGTTAGGTTGTGTAGCTCTCGAGTTGAAAGCTTCCAGCAACCCAGGGGATTGATTCGACTCCAGCAAGGTCGTGTGGTGGCTTTTGGTGGATCCGCAGTATTTAGAGGCAAGGCAGATAGCAACCATGGCACGTTCTGTTTTTTGTTCCTCTTTTCATACATGGATAAGTATCTATCCCTCACCTCCAGGAGGGTTTCTTTGATCAATTGGGATATTTTTCATTCAGGATTTAACTCTTTGCAGACAAGAGTTCTGGGATGGACGACCTACCATCAATGCTTCCTTTGGATTAATCAAACGGTTAGTTCATGATGAGCTTTGAGATTTTTTCTTGGTCCGAGAGTTTGCTCATTGACCATATCAAATATTTATTGGTTGATGGTTTAAGGTCTTTAGTTGAATTTCAGGATTTATGTTAGGGTTGTTTGGTTGTGCTTTCTTTCTGAATCTTTTTGTGCTTCATTTGCATTGCTCTTTGGATTGTTTGGCAACAAAGAACCCTGGGAATAACTCCCAAGTTTTTTGTTCCATTTTTCATTAAGGGTTGGAGCAGCAATTTGAGGGCCATCAGAAGCAATCATGTCAAGCATTGTTGCTAAATAGACAGAAGGTTTACTGATCTAATTCGATGTTTCAATGTTGCTGCAAGGGTTGCAGTCGAGGCCCTGCTATGCTAAGCCTATTTTCTTTGTGAGCATTAATCTACATCAAGCATTACTACTTGCCTGTTTAAACGTGGTGGTGATTGTCCTTTGTGCAGATAGCTTTCGATGGGTCATCGTGTGGGATGCTGTTGTTCGAAGCTTGCTTTTCCATGTGATGTCCATTTAGGTAATCTGCTTGGTGGTTCTTGGTGTAGGTTTCCTTTGTTGCAAAGTCAGGGTCTTATCGTTATTTGGGTTTGATTATGAACAAATGCAGTGTAATCATTCAGTAAAAGTGGGGTACTTTTGGATAGTTAGTGGCCTGTATGTATATATGGACTGTTTGTTCATGAACTTGGTGGTTTCCGGTGAAAGTTAAACTTTGGCTCAAATAATTATTCAACGAAAAATTTGATTGGTAAATATATTAGCTCACTAATCTAGGGCAATCTATGCGGTCTTGCTTTTGGACCAGGTTGATTATATATCTATCGTTCTTTTCAATTTTTTATGAACATAAAAGCAAAGCAAAAAATCGGAATTTGTTGTTAGTTAGTTTGCTTCTTTACCACAGGTCCCGGCGCGGCGGCGCGGGCAATAATACTTGTATTATATTAAAGCTACCAAACCCTTTGATACCTGCTGCCATCACTGTCAGACATCGCGGAGGCACTCGGAGAGTGGGGGCTCATTTCGACGACGACGCTGAATTTAGACGACTACATGAGCGTGGATTCTCTCGCCAGATTTCTCGTTACGGTTGCCTTACTCGCCATCTCCCCTACCTCGCTTAAACAGGGAGATCCAATGCAAATTTTGACTTGTTTCGTTATTTTATTCTCTGTCTCCTCTTTCTTTGCAATCTATGAAATTGTTTAGCGGGCTTATTGATTTGTTCCAGATTAATGTTTGTCGGCCAATACGACGGTGCCGCTCTAAAAAGTGCGGCACCAATGACGCCGTTTCTGATTGGTCTACATAAATTGCGACGTGCAAGTGGTTTTGTTTAAATAAAATCCCAACCGAACTCTCGGTTAGCCCAGACGGCCTGTACCAGAGTGACGGAGTTCTCTCCGTTAAACGCTTTGTTTTTGTTCGTCTCTTGATCAATTAAAATTCATGAACTGCTATTTTGGCAGAATCAGAAAACAGAGAACAGGGATCGACCACCACACGAATCAGAAGCACACTTCCTCAAGTTCCATCACCGGCAGCCTCTACAAATGACGAGTACCATGCTCAATATCGATCCCTTCGCGCCGACAGCTCCTCAATCCGCAGCTCCCATCTCCTTCTGCCAAATTGGGGAATTGCAAGCGCGTCGCCTCTACATGCCGCGAGGCTCTGCATGGGTTCACCGCCTATCTCCGAATGTAACTGATTCGATTACGATTCAAGCTTAGATAAGTCTGCAAGATGCCGGTCGGATAGGTCCAGATCCTCATCGAAATAGCTGATCCCTTGTTGCTCAACGACAGCGAATACTCCATCCCCATGGCCACCACCGACGGCTGCCTTGTCTTCGGAGGTTTTAAGAATGTGTTGGGTTTCCTCCGGTCTGATTTTCCTGGCATGGACATCATCGCCAGCTCCGGTAACTGAAACCACCCTCTTTCTCTGTTTGTTCTTTTGTGTGTGTTATAAAGGAATGAAAGTGGTCTTCATTCTACATTTCTACTTTAGGATATCTCAAACCTGACCTCGCAGTAATAATCTATGTACAATAAATGAAATTCGACAAGTGTTTTCCCTTCACGGTAAAGTTGAGTTGTGGATGAAGGGCCTTTTGTGCTGCACACGAGCTCATTGAGGGCGATTTTTTCATCTTCCATTTGGTCAACCCCCTAGGCCATAAGGTTTAAGGCAATGTTTTCTTCATTCTGGAAAGGTGGGTTCTTTCCTTCTATTGTTTACTCATGTCATCTCGGTTATTTATTTCTAGAAACAAGGTCACTAGTAATATGAAAGGAGGACAGTGAAAAGCTAATGATGTATGTAGTCTTTTACTCTTCAGTTTTTCCCAGATTGAAATTTACTACCTAATTTGGGTTTTATACGTGACACCTAGTGAGAACTAGCTTGTTTATCTCAAGTTATCGCTGTTGATGTGCAACTTCATTCTATGTGTCAAACTTTAGGAGGGATCTTTAGTATTACCTTACTAATGGAGAACAAGTTTGGTCAATTTCAGGTTCTGGTAACCAAATGACCTGACACCTTTAATCTTCAGCTTATATTATTGACTGGATTTAGGAGACTGACACTCAGTCAAAACTTGCTTTCTCTATTATATGATGATTATACATTTCATTAACCACCTCATGCTTCCCTTCTTTTGTATGCAGTATGTTAACTCCATACTATACATAAAATTTTCTTTACAACATGTCTATGCTCGTAAGAAGAATGTTCGATTCATGATTTTGAGATTAAATGATGTGAGTAAATAGAGTATGGAGAATAGGTCACAGCTTGGTGGGAGCAATGAAGCTCGAGAGTTCGGACGGAGCAACAGTGGCAAGAGAAGAGTGTAGTGATCAGAACTGTGATTTTGTTTGTAGAGTTTAGTGGTAGGTGAAAGGATGACTAGAAATATATTTTGTTGCGCAGGCTCTAATGTATGGAAAATCTCTTTATTCTCAAGGCACCAGTGTACTTGACTTCTCAATAATGTTACTGCATTTACAGATTTACTAAGAACTTTTGAGAGAGAGAGAGAGAGAGAGAGAGAGAGAGAGAGAGAGAGAGTTGATTTGGTGAAGGCGGACCCTCAAGGAAGAAGGGTTGTTGCACTCTGTTTTTATACCAGTTCGACCAAATGTATTAAGTTTAACAGCACTAATCCAACTTAGCCATGTGTCAACGAAACACGGGCTATTACAAACATAAAACTATTGTTAATTAACGGCTATCATACTAAACAACACGACTGCATTTTGTTCAAAGGTCAAGCCTCTAATGTAAAACGTCATCATCTTGGAACTCCTTCTCCTCCTTCTTGTTGGGCAGGCTCTAATGTATGGAAAACCTCTTCATTCTCAAGGTACTAGTGTACTTGACTTCTCAATAATGTTACTGCGTCTGCATGTACTGATACAAAGAGGAGAAAGCCTCTCGAGGAACATGAAGGCCATGATGGCTGACTAGATTGTACTGGATGTCAATAGATGCGACTCCCAACTTGTTTGTCTTGCGTTCATAATTGAGAAAAGCACCATCCACAAACTGCAAGTAGCACCATAAACACACTGCTAACTATTCAGACTGAGTTCTACCTTTCTGTCTACCAGATACGACACTACTAGCAATCTAGCATTAACAAATGTGCCACTCACTTTTTACAGTCACTAAAATTCGACATTAACAAATGATCCGCATTCCATTACCGCTGCTAGACTTAGCAACAAGAGGTCCTTCATAATTCATGTGTTCTTCTTCTTAAAGCACCATAGTTCATCATTACCTGCAAGCCAACGAACTATGTTAACCGGCCAGGCATGTATCATCTTCTCAACCACTTCTTCATTATGCCTTAATAACAAATTCACACAATTACACTTGTTCAGATTATATCATGCACAAGAAGTAGGGACATAATAAATAAGTGAAAGAGAAGCTGGCGAAACTTCTACATATGAAAGATGTTGAGCAAAAGGACTCTATGGATCATTAGCAATACAACCCTAAGGGATTAACCTATAAACTCAGTGCTCTGTACTTTAGGGCCAACCCCAATGGAAGACAAAAAAATAAATTATGAAGACAACAAAATATAACACCCACCCAAATCAGGAATAAAATGTTGAGTCATGTGATCAGTGCCACCAAAATCAACTCATGAAGCCTGAATACACAACTATCAACTAAATGACCCTTTGACTTTGAGCTCTTGCATGACCGCAAACCTGTTTTGATGAAGTACCAGGATATTAAATCAGACAGAAACCTCACAACCTTATTGAACTTCAGGACTCATTCATTGTACAATATGTGGAGCCTGAAGGATAAATTAAACACCCAGCGCTTTACGGTACCCTTTGACATTTGAAATTGAGATAAGCTACTTATACTGCTTGCTCTAAGATTACGGCAGTGAGAATGGGAGAGAGAGTATAAATAGCTACCTTCTCGCCATTTCTTCTCCAACTTGAGGTTTCTGGGATTCTATACAATTGAGGAACTCGAGCTCAAAACTTCCCCTTGTGCTGATGATGTTTAATATGCCTCCCAACTACTAAGTTACCCGTAAGTAGGACAAATGGGGCATAGAGGGCCAAGAATAATGCTTCGTCACAGAATACAGATGGTCACTGATTTCTTGCATTCACTCCAAAAAGAACAAAACAAAGAGACAAGCACATGAACAAAACATCGATACCCAACTGCTCATTAAAGCAAAAAACAAGGGAAAACACACACCCAACATCCATTGCAAAATCTGCGACATGCTATTTTGAACGCCATAGGAAAGTAAAACGACCCCTCTAAATCTCCTACATCCACAAATACACAGCCGTCGAATTACCTGGAAGCCTTTTGATTAGGTGGGGAAAGTCCCTTCGTTCAACGATTCAATAAGGACCGAGGGCGAATCTCTTCTTCGTTGAATTAGGTTCGACAGGTAGTATGTCGGCGGCGCTGCTCAACGGAGATAAAGGGACGGTGACGACGTGGAATTCGTTGCCATCGGTTTGCCGAATTAATGAAGTAGGACGAAACAGAGAATGATTTCACGGAGCTGTTTGGTAGGCCTTCAGATTGAATCGACGACTGAGGAGTCGTCTGAACTCCTGCTAGAGAGTTCGCCGGGGATGGAGATCGATGAAGAGAACTGCTTCCCTATTGCTTCGTTGTCTTTTTCCTGGGTTTCTGGCGAAGAAATTAACGGAAAAAGAAACCCAATAAAAAACGCAAACGACAGAAAGAATTCGTCCGTTGGGTAGCGCGGAGTTCGATTTGGGCAACGGGTCATCAGGTTCGGGTTCGAATTAAACAAACCCAACCCATGCCACATCACTGCTTACGTGGTCCAATAAAAAATAGCGTCATCGGTGCCGCAATTTTTACGGCGGCACCTAGTATTGGCCATGTTTGTCTTTATAAGATCGTGATTAATAGTTACGCCAAAGAGGCCTAGGACCCGTTGCATATTTGGCCCGGAAGGCAGCAGTGACCATCGGTGGCTGAGCTTGGAATATCACGGCGAAAGGTAGGCGATTGGATGGTGGAATTGGAAACGGAACGGTTGTTGACGAAAGATGAGGAGACGGGAGAGATGTAATCATTTCAGATAAGTAAAATTCTTTAAATTCCTCCTTAATTAATTACTAGCTTATAACCCGGCCCTTTGGCCGGAATGCTCATATTTAATTATTTGTAGTTTTTGTTACTTTTAAGTCTATTAGTCCATTTAATCTTATTGATAATCATTCGATCGAGATGATACATAAAGAAATAATATATAGGTCGAACATTCGGAGAAATATCATAATCATTTAAGAATATAAAATATAAAAATGTATCATTGACCCTATTTTCATAATGCTAATTAAGTCCCTGTTAAAATGCTATTGGTTAGTTTTTTACAGTCAAGAAATATAGAGTATAAAAGCTCACTGAAATTCTCACACACCCCATAGATAGTTTGAAACTAAATCTTAAACCTCACAATCCTATATAAAGGGTTCAATGCTCTCCTTTTAGAAACAATATGTCACTAATCAAAAAGAAATGGAGAGTTGTTGATTCAAGTCATCTATATACTAAAAACTCAGCTAAGAGGGGACCATCACAACTTGAGAGCAAACGAAAAAAAATCAGGGTTATCTCCAATATGCGAATAGACTCGATTAAAGTAATAAGGCGGAAAATTAGACACTCCTTATCTATTAGTTCCAGTAGGTTGAATAAAGAAGCGACCTATTTCAAACAATCAATCAATGATTCCTCGTTTTAAGATAGAAATAGGTTGTGACAGTTGCAAAAACCATAAACCTAAAGATCCAATAGCCACCACTCTCCGTTGTACAACCAAATTTCTATCTCAAGAGGCATATATTCAACCAAAAGTTCAATTTCTAATCCTCCTTCTACAACTTCAGTTATTGATGAACTCCATTCTATTCGCCATTAATTGATATCGGAGTTGAAATCTTCTACTCGCCTAGCTTAAAATCCCAACAATAAAACCGTAGTGCCAAGAGATATCTGAAGATTGATTTTCAATGACAGTCTTGTACTGGGAAGTGAAAGGCGCAAACTATTGCACAATGGATGAAATTTCGGAGGAAGTTAGAAAGAGAAAAGAACAAAGATAAAAAAACAAAAAATTTAAATTGAAAAATGCAAGGATACAACACGTAGTTACATAATTAGTTTCTTCCATGTTAGCCAATTACCCATTTACCTTTAGCAAAAATTAAGAAGAGAGCGGGAATTTAAAATTGAGAAAATTACATGAAACTCTACTATAAAAATAGAAGTATCAAGCTCGATAAAAATACATACGGTAGACTTAGTGAGCTTGCTAATTATGATGAAAAAGTCCTCTGAATTTCAGAGATTAACTTTGTCTATGTTTTGTATAAAAAAAGATACAATAAATTTGTTTAGTGTAACTGGTTGTAATTGTTAACTTATTTTGAAGAGACCCGGGTTCAAATCTTGATATTGTTATTTTTATATGAAATAAATAATAAATGTGTAAAGAAAAAAATGACCTTCCTACTTTTACTCTCATTGCAGGAAATTTGAAATAGAGAAAAGTACACAAAACTCTACCATATATTAATGGAGGATTATATTCCTTTCTGTACCATTTTTATTATATTGTTTTTATTGAATGATGGTTACTATATGTTTTTAATTATACGTTCAAAGTTCAAACTCTTTCTTAACTCATTTCATTTCAATATTGTATCTGCTTAAAAATTAAAATTAAAAATTAAAAATATATATAGATAGTTGCACCATCATCGCAGTTTTTGATTAAGCCGTATTGGTTTATTTCAACTCATCTATAGTAGTGGCGCTTGTGTGTATGTGTTTATTTTACAGGTGATCATTCAACTGATTAATTGTAAGAATTCAGACCATGGTTTGGGTGGTAGCCTCCTTTCAGCGATCGGGGTATTCGTGTCTTCATGCAGCGTGCATCGTTCCACTTCGCTCCACGTAATTACAATAGGGCTGCCCATATCGTGACTAAACAAGCCCTTTCATTGTTGAATCGTCAGTTGGTTGATCAATGACTCTTCCTTAATTTTTTCTTGTAATTTGACTTACAAAGTCCTTTTATCATGTAATATCTGAGGTATTTCCTTTTCGATATCTCTGGCAAAAAAAAAACACTACATTCAGTTTGTTTTAATAGACACACATCAAATTTGGGCCAGGGGAGCAAGTCTTTTCTATGTTAAGCCAGTTTGCCAGGGATGGAATAGCGTCACTTCCCCTATGAGGGTTGTGAGTTTCGCTTTCCCCTTCCCATGTGTCCATTCCCCTTCTACATCCGATGGTGGAGAATACATCAAGGGTCTTTGTGTAACTTGTTTAATGTAATTACATTGAAAATAAAAAATAAAGACATGGGGAGAATATTGCCTTGCGTGATTTCTGGGATGAATTTTAGCTAACCATAACCGACGATTCTCTTCCCCTTCCATTTGTTGATTCTTCCCCTTCCATAACCGGCCGCTTCTTTTCGCCGACAATAACTCGCCGCCGCCTCCGGTATACAATGGCCGCCGGCAATAACTCGATGATATAGATGGGTTGGATCTGAACAGCCGGGGTTTTATGGGTTCGACTTGAACCTTTTATACACAAGCAATGACGACACGTTATATGAAGAGGCGGAGAATGGTGGTGATGTTTTAATGGTGGATGATGCAGCGGTTTTCAACGTGGAGGACATGCTCAACTAAGAAATCCTGTAGAAATAAGAAAAGACGGACAACGACAACGCAGAGAACAACAACGATTGCGAGGTGCAGGCAGGCCAGCCCGTTGAGGACAATGACAACGACAGAAAGACTATCGCTAGCGGCAACATTGTCGATAAGGTAACCAGGGGGTTATGAATTCCATTGCAAAGTGGTGCTAGTTCGTTACTATTGGTAGTATACCAGTGGTAGTCATGTAGTAGTAGTGGCACAGTGGTAGTATTCTAGTGGTAGTTTGTTAGTAGTGGTAGTGTACTAGTGGTAGTGGGTTAGTGGCAGTAATCTACTGGTAGACTCTTAGTGGTAGTATTATAGTGGTAGTATATTCTCAGTGGTACATGCACATTTATCATGTGGCCTCTAATATTTTTTAAAATTACAGGTACGGTATCAACTGTCGTCCCAGTGGACAGGTCAACATGGGAGCACTTGCGTTTCCAGAATCAAGAAGATTTTACAAGCTTTTATAAGTGTTTTGCTCATGGAAGAGGCTTCTCGTCAAGAGTTGTTGGAGCGGTGAAGAAAAATAGTCTACATGTAATTACAAAAATAGTCTAGTATTCAGTGATACATGTCCCGCTACTAGTTATTCGTTAAAGAACTATTGGTACTTACCAATACTAGTTACTGGTACATGTACATGTACCAAAAATAGTCTACGTGTAATTAGAGAATGAACTAGTGCTTGATGTAACGGCAAAATTGCCAATGGAACACAAAATCATAATAGTTGCTAAACCAACATTAGTGGTTTTCTCCAACATAATTGGTTCAAATATAAAAAAAAATCATAACTAAAAGCCAACAAATGTTCAAACTTTGTTCATACTCCAAAACATACATAAAACAATAGCATACTCCCCAACCGCTTGAAAAGAACTACTGTTGGGTCAGCTGAGTATATTCACAGAGTAGTGGTTCCTTCATCTCAATAGCTTTATTCGTTACCTCCTCAAACTTCATATTACTTGGGTCACCGATTATATTTTTAACCAACTCTGCAGACCTGTTCATTAGATAAGTTCTTATGCTCCATTATTTCTTCCATTCACCAACAAGTTTCCCTTCTTGGTACCAAAATAAAAACTATATTTTTAGACATATTGAATTACAACTTACAATACTACCACTACCAAACATTCAACCGTGATAGTGTCAGAAATATCTGGGATACATGTACTAGTACATGTACCACTAGTGGTACTGGTACATGTATCACTAGTGGTACACGTACCAGTAGTGGTACTATGACATGTACCACTGAACTTGGTACCAGTACCGTTGCTTCTGCAGTGGTACCACGAATCTAATTGAAAGTATCACTGCATTATACAAACAACAAACAAGCGCAACATATCACTAGTGGTACACGTACCAGTAGTGGTACTATGACATGTATCACTGAACTTGGTACCAGTACCGTTGCTTCTGCAGTGGTACCACGAATCCAATTGAAAGTACCACTGTATTATACAAACAACAAACAAGCACAACAAAAAAGAAAGGGCTAAATGTTTAGATTCCGACGCTGGATTCTGGAAAAAACTTGCGGGATAAAGAACCCTAACCTGCGAAGTTTTGCACTGGTGCAGAACGGGTCGACGGCGGAAGAAACTCTGATGATGCACGGAAAGAAAAAAAAACTAAGTTGTTAGGCCTTAGATTAAAGCAGGATTCGCCCCTGGGAAACGACGATCGACAAGGGGGAAAGGACGCTGGGAAACCCAAATCAGTAGTTGTACTGGTACATGTACCACTAGTGTGATTGGTACCACTACCACTAGAATTGGTACCAATACCACTACCACAACGATATCAATTCAAAGTACCACTGCATTATATAAATAGCAAACAAGCTACACAAGAAAGAAAGGGTTGCATGATTCAATTCCAACGTGGCAATCGGAAATAAAAAACTTCTGGGATACAGAAACCTCACTTGTTCTGTTTTCAACCGCCATAGCAAGGGTCAACCGAGCGGCAATATTTCCGACGATGCACTGAAAGCACAAGTAAATTGAAATGTGGGTTACGATTTGTGGATTAAAGCATGAAGGCCGGTGGAAATTCAACCAATTGAACCCAGTCAATGGAAATTCAACCGAGCGGAATTTCAATCGACCAAAATCAGAAAGAAAGGAGTGGAGGAAATAGAGCGGACCTACTTCTACTCTCAACGAACAAGCCTTCGAACCCAGGGAAAATGGCGCGTGATGGTGCAGGGGAAAAGGAAACCGGCGATAAATCGGCGACGTTGCAAGGGTTTATTTATTTGGGGTTTTGGGAGCAGACGGAGGGAAGAGGGATGATGGCCAGGGGAACGGTTTTTTTGCGGGGAAGGTAGCGGATTAGCCTCCGAAAATCTTTCCACTTTCAAAACCGAAGATCGCGTGCGATCATACGTGGAGTGGGGAGTGAGCGGATCCAGTGCGACACCTCTCTTTTTTGCCCTTGATGAATATCAACCACCAGATCAAGAGGAAGGGGGATCTAGGGCTAGGAAGGGGGAAGCGAAAATCACAACCCCTCTAGGGGTTGTGATGCTATCTAATCTGGGACGGGATACCGTCACAACTCACTTTGTAGCCATTAGATGTAATCTCTTTCCTCTCTCTCTCTTGTCATTTTTAAATTGATGGTTGAGATGAAAGGAAGGGTATTTTTGGGAGGAAAAAACTTACCACACTCAATCATTTTCCCTCCCATATAAAATAATAAAACCCTAATCTAACCCCATACCAACTCCACAGCCGTTCACCTCCTTCTCCCCTTCCTCCCTCTCTTTCGTCGACAACTCCACAGCTAGGAATGACAATGGGGCAGGTCCGGGGAGGGTATCACGATACCCATACCCGCCCCGTGGCAGATCGGGTCCAAGTCGGGTAAATTATCATGGAGCGCTGGTCGGGGCAGATCGACCCAATGGGTATTCAATTTATAAGGAAAGCATTATAAATATTCATTATTTTCATTATAAGACCAAAAAATAAGTCATAATATGATAAAATATAGTTAAGTTATTGGAGAAATTGAGATTTTCACTAATTTACAACTTTATAATAACTAAAATATGATGTAATAAAAGGAGAATCCTAAGTAATTTGACTAAACTTACATGTAATATAGGCAAGAACGGGTCAGGGCAGGTCGGGTCGATGAGAATACCCATGCCCGCCCCACCCCGCCTACGGGGTGGGTCGAACCCGCCCCAAAATAGGTCAAACAGATCGGGTAAAACGGTCAGGTTGAAATTGCCATCCCTATCCACAGCCGTTTCACAACTCCACAGCCGGCTGCCACAACTTCACCTCCCTCTTCCTCTGCCATGCTCGTCGACATCCTCCGGCCTCCGCCGCGCCTGCTTTCCTCGCCCCCGCCGCCCCTGCACCCCTCGGCGTGCCCCGCCGCCCCTCACCGTGCCCCGCCATCCCTGCGCCCCCCACTGTGCACCCGCTGCCCGCTGTCGTCTTTACGTCGTCGTTGCGAGGTTACTGAAACTCGCCTCCCCCCCTTTCCTTTTTTTTTTCAGATCTGTGATTTTTTATATTCCAGATCTGATTTTTGTGTTAGTCTCTACTGGTACGGTACTAGTGCACACTAGTACCGTACCACTACCGCTGGTACCGTACCACCACCATTGGTACCGTACCACCACCATTGGTACCTCTACCAGTGATCACTGGTACATCACAGTGACTAGTGGTAGCGTACCACTGGTAGCGCTACTAGTACGCTACCACTGCTCACTTGTACGTACCAATGACTAGTGGTAGCATACTAGTACTTACTGGTACACTACTAGTGGTAGTTTTTGTGTACCACTAGACAAAAATCATTATTATTAGCACATTAATGGAGTGGTACTTTTTTGTAGGTGGCCGGAGCGAGTATGATTGCAAGATTTCACCGGAGAAGGTCTGCCGATCGGAGAAAGTCAGCCGATCGGAGTGAGTGACTACTGGAAAAGGAAGAGAGAGAAATGTATTTGTGGCAAGATTTAAATTTTAAAATAAAATAAAATATTTAATATGAGTTTTAATTTTCCAAAATGTAATTAATATAAAAAGGAAAGTAATTAATAAAATTTCTTTTTGCACTACCCAAATTGCCCTTTGTGATGAAACTCACAACCCTATGTGACCGTATCCCAGCCCATCTAATCCCTGTTTGCCAAGCCCACACGTTGGACATACAGTATAATAGTAGGGAGAAAATGGAAAAGGAAAGAGCGGCGGGAGGCGGGAGCGCGACTTGAGGTCGGGGAAAAAACAAGGAACAGAGGGATGATATGAGAATTAATTCTTTTTGGCTCCACCAAAACCATCTCTGCGCCCCTGCCATTTGCCACTGACCGGTGGTGGATCGGAGCAGAATCGAAGTCCCAAGTTTTCAACGGCGAATCTCTTCTCAAACAACAATGGTGAAGGTCGTAGTAGGAGACGAAAACCAACTCAAATTGGCCGAGGACCGACTTACTCAATCTGGTTTCACCGCCCAGGTCCCCCTCCCGATACGCGCTGTACATTTCATTTTCACCTCTGCAATTCCCTGGGGGGACGATCTAATTGTTCTGAAATCCGTTTGATTTGATTAGGTCGGCCTGGTGATCGGCAAGCTCAGCTCCCCATTGGACCGAGGCTTCGTCTTCGATTTAGTCCCCACTCCGACGAACGACGCCGGCGAGCCAGCCTGTTCCGTCGTCGAGACCAAAGATGACAAGAAAAAGGGCGGTTCCAAATCCAAATCGCAGGTCTTGGATGCTTCCACCTTGCTCATTGACACTGACTGGGTCGCCGAGCACGCTCGCCAGGTCTGCTTGTCTCTTCCTTGATTTCCTCGTCAATCCAGCTGGCTTTAGTTTCATTTCCAGTTACTGTAACGATGGTGAGGGTTTCACTTAGGTTTCGAGAATGTTAGTTGGCGGGATGAATGTGGTGGGAGTTTATGTCTGGGTTAGTGATACCTCATTCAAGAACTCAACTATTACCCTTTGCCAGGTAGCTTCCTTGGAACTTTGATTTCTTAGGGTTTTCCGTTTCTCCAGAGCAATGTCCTATGCGATTCCGGGCTGATTGGGTGTTATTAACGGTAATAGCTTTTGCAGACAGTGAAAGGAGTGGCGGAAGCCGCACCTATTCTAGAAGGAGATTGGGATGAAAGACTGCTTATTCATATATCTTATAGCCCAAGGAGGTATTTTGTATCTTGCGTTAGTCTAATTATGTTCAACTTTTCACCATGACTTGGGACTACTTTTGATGCTTCATATGTTGATCGGTAAGTTGATCTTCTGTAGGTGGACATGTCGGAATTGTATGTTGTCTTCAAGTATCACATCAAGCAGCATACGGCCCTGTGATTTCAAAATGGGGAAGGTCTTAAGCTCCATGCAGAGATTTAGGTGTATTTATAACTTTGAGCTCAGGTAGGAATAAATAATTGGTTAGTTCTGCTCTGCATTACATTCCTGCTGGGTAGATCTATCAGGCTACAATATTTTAGGATGATTTTTTGGATTTTAATGGCTGTATAATGATGGTGGAACATCTGCTTGGAAATTACTGCATTCTTGTGGTAGTTGCCAAACTCAAGAGTGAAGTTTTATATCCGCAGATTACCTATATCCCACGAACGTGAATCAACGGCTTCAACGCTGAGTGCAATTCTTCGGTATGGAATCTCAACACATGTGAAAGAGCTAAGAGGTGCAAAGGCTGTAATTGATGGAAAATTGGTAAATAAGAACTGTGAACATGCTTTAGCCTGTTTTTGGGTTTCTTTATTTTATCTGTTCAGTGTTCGGCAACATTTTTTATGTCGAAGTTAATATCTCCATTACTGTCCATTTAAGATCACAAACGATGAGCCATGCACCACTGACAGTTTACATGAAGTTGAATTGCTTTTTCCATTCCAGGAATGTGACCCTGCTACTGAAGGTTTGTTGACAAATTCATCATTTCGTGTATTGAGTAACGTCAATATTAGCCCTGTATATCATCTGGGCATCTGATATTTGGATTTTATTTTTACCTATAAAGCATGCAGTCAGAAAAATGTAGATGGTCTTCTTGTTTTTGGTGGGTCTGTATGTTCATTCACGTATCTGAACAACAAAGAGCCTGTTTCGCAGGCAGTTGCTGATATAAAGGTATGTCGTAATCCCAGTTGTCTTTTTCTATCTAGCTTTTGGAATTTGGCATTTGGCATTTGACCCTTCATATGCAGTTTGGTTCAAACCTTAATAATGCATCTCTGCTTCAGACCTTGCATTGGATAACATTAGGAAGCTGCTGTCTTTTTCTTGTTATGTATAGTATAGGCTTCTTTGAGATTTGTCCCAGATACTGTTAAAGTTGCTTTAAACCTATCATAGGGTGGCCCTCATTTACCGGTGAAGGTGCGGCTTAGGTGGCTGTATCCCCTAATCTTTTTTTTGGATAAGGATGATATAGGTTTCATTTTTTGTGATTAGGGTACTACTTAAGGGATTCGATCCCGGGACCTCCAGGTTCTAGGCTAGTGCTATAACTCAGTGCCGCTTAGGTGGCTGTACTCCCTAAACTTTTATGACCAAAGTTTTAAATATTCACAATCACTCCCAGATCATGGAGATAGTTTTGTTTTTTTAAACCTTAGATGGCAAGATAGAGACAGTTGATTTCCTTGGCTTTGGAACCTTTTTAACTTCTCTCCTGGCTAGTTACAGTCCAATTTATATAGTGTGTTCAACTTCTGCCAGTTTTGAGTATAGAACCCAAAACCTCAACCCTTGTTCTCAAATGAAAGAGATGATCAAAGCAAAATCTGAGGTTAAAAGGCTCAGGGTAAATAAAGTTCTGTAGAAATTCCCTGTTGCACGTGGTCCTTTATAGTTAGTACCTATGCGATCACACCAAGCATGAAAGACATTTTCAGATGCTAAAATGGAATGCAGATGTCTATTCATATTCTTCCTGTACCTAAATTGACCAGATTAAAAGCTTTAGTAGGCAGTCTTGTAGCTTTCATAATGCCACTCTAGGAATTCCATTCTCACTTGGATTAACCTTTGCTCTGTGCTTTTTTCTTTTTGAAGTTTGACATAGTCAGGAGTCTGCAAAGCAGGTTGGACATCTTATGTGATGAAGCAGATCAAGAACTTGCTGCAGAAGATGAAGGCACTGAGGAAGCAAGCCAAGACAGACTGTCTCATAAACCTGTTTCCAAACTTGTCCTTCACTCTTTAAGGTGTGTAGTTTAAGAATTATAGAGATGATAGTAGTTAAATGGTGACAAGTTTAATGTCACCTCTCCTGGTTAAAACAGGAAAACATGCCATCTTGCATTCCCTCGAAGAGTTTTCATTCCATGGTTGGGTGATATCTACATTTGTGACTATCTACAACCATCAGAGACACTTGAGGTTTGGTGTTGCCTGTCTGTCCTATACTGAATTTTCGATTGCAGGGAATTCGCATTCAAGTTATGATGTTTTTTGGGATTATTGTGGCAGGTCATAAAAGATCACTGTGTGGAGTTGATGTCCATGCAAGCCCCAACTGATGCCTCAACGTTCTTCCAGCCAGAAGTGGAAGCTCCATCGGTGATCTCCAAATCTTTCTGGGATGTTTCAGTGCCTGGCAATTCGAATAATTCTTCTTCTAGCAAGAGCAGAGAAGCCGATGATGCAAGCCCAGAAAGCAGCAACAGACAGCTGAGGAAGACCGTTAACTTCAGTTTCGGCATGGTGGCAGCTGTCCTCATCCTGCTTATGTCTATCTTGCTAGGTTTTGTATTCGTCAGGAAATCATAGGTAAACGATTTCGGGTTATATACTAGCCACAGGATTTCTTGTAACTGTTGATTCGGTGGTGTCTGTGAACGAGATTTGAAATGTTTGTTGCATTCTGTGATTGAAAACTATGGAGCGAAGAAACGAAAAGAGAAAGTTATAGAAGGAAAGAAGAAGAGGGAAATGGCAGAATTTAACTGTGACTTTGTAGTATAGATTCTGAAAGGATGCTTTAGATTTTGTTTTTTCCTCAACTCTCTCATGTTTATGTCCATAGCCTGTTGTAAAGGTGAACACTGGAATCATTTTTGTATTATGCGAGAAAAGTACTACAGTTTGAGTGCAAGAATTAGCCACTACTAGAAGAATTTTGTTACCTTAACAAAGCTGGAGATTTGTTACTACTAGAAGAATGCAAGTATTGCTCATCCAAAACCCTACTACCTTCTACCACACTTCCACTAAACACCAGACACACTCTTCCCTTCCAGCCCGGCTTCAGCTGCCTTCAATGGCGGCTGCTACTTCATCATGGCTTTTTGCAACAATAGACAAGGATAAAAAAGGAACACCAGGGAAGTGGATTCTGTCGAGCCAACCCAACCCTAGGGGTGACAAACGGTAAGTCGGTAAACGGTTTACCGGCGGTATCGGCAGCCGAAGGTCAAATGGGGAAGCTCGGTTTACCGGCCCCAGTATCGGTAAATACCGACGGTAATTCGGTAACACCGATACCGGACAAGTTAAGGCATTAACTAACCCTTACTGGCTACTAGTTCAGATTCTGTTTAAAAAAACTGCAATGAAATAAGAAACTTTGATCTCCATTCTATTTCCTCCATACAAGTATCTATTACAAGTACTCCAACTGTTGGATCCAGTCATGACCAATTGATGAAATTCAGATGTTTACATCAGCTCTCCTAACACGCATATGAACAGAAAATAATAGCTCTGAGTGCTATCAGTAATCATCATAACCATTAGTTACTGGTTTCTCTGTACAAGATCAAATCCTTTCTGTACAAAAAGGACTAACGCGTCCTTGAAGGAGTGTACTCTCCATGAATGGATTGGAAGGCCAAGACTGTTGAGCTTGCTTTTCCCCCTAGTTTGCAGAATCACTAGGGAGGAATTTGCCGAGGCATGACACGACCCTGGAAATTTTTCCAACAGAAAGAAATGCACGGATTTAGGAGGGTTGATCAATTTTGTTCTTGCTAATAGGTCATTAGAGAATGTAACGTTTACCTCTCATTCTCAGTGATCAGAGACCGAAGTTCACAATTCTTGAATCTGGAGAAGCAAAGATTGAAGAAACAAGCAACCATTAGTCGTTCACACAAGCCAACACAAATTGTGCGGGAAATGAGATTGTCACAAGGAAAATGAAGCCTAGCGTGAGTTGGCCCTAAAACATTGGGGAATACTAACTGTGTGGATACTTCAGCCCTCAATGAAGGCTGGCAGTCAGTGGTCAAAGCCTCTAAGGTATACTGCAAGAACCTGTCATGACAAACAATGGCAATTTCCTTCTCGGGTCGTGTCCATAACCTGAAAATACAAATATTTCCAATGTCATTCCTGTGGTACACATAACCGTATCATGATGAAGAAGGAGATTCCTAGGGTAACAATCAATTAGTAATAGACTAATAGTAGAAGGCCTTTCCTACACTAGGTTTTTCGGGCAGAGAATATGCAGTGAACAAGGTTGCAGAACAGGTAAAACAGGGGAGGTAAATACCAGTTCATGAACTTCAAGCCCCTGGCTGCAACCTCTGCAAAGGTCTCTCTAGCATCCGGCTTCCACATAACGTCATCATCACTTTCTATCTGTAAAGACAACACATTTCTTTGCAGTTAGTTTCAGATACAAAAGGTGAGAATCCTGGAACCATCACTGTCAGGATGTGGGTAAGTAGTGCTTGCCAACGAGAAATCAACGTCAGGGTAAAGAGACCGATACTCGGTGACTGTCCTCCTCTTGTCACAAGGATGAAGCCCCTGCAGCATTAAACAAAGACACACTTGATCAAGAAAAAAACCAGTTTTGGCAGAAGTTCATAAACTCCAATTGGGCTCTCGGTGATAGTACCAACCAATCTCTCTCGACAAAGTTCATACGCCAGAATTGGTGGGTAGTTGACATCTGACATTTCTGCAGCAGCATCACCACAGTTCTGTACACTTTCGTTGGTGAGCTTTCTATCAAACACCTTGACTGCAGTTTCTATAGTCCTGCCAAACCCAATCCATTCATTCTCAATTAAAAAGAAAATTGAAGAGCACAGTAGAAAGCCAAGAAATTCCAACCTCGACAGAGGAGAGGTGACGACTAATTGAATTTTGGCAAGGATCCCAGATGAAACCACATAATTGCGCAAATCTCGAACCTGTAAAACGTTTCAATTCAAGAGCTTCGGAAAGAATGGGAGGCGCGGAATAACAATAATCCAAAAGTGGCAACTTTGGTAGAAAGAAAATTGACAAACTCGCCTGTTGGGATCCAAGCGGGGAGAGGTTAGCATCAAAATATTGAGGAGACATCAAAGCGCTGTGATCCTGGGCTCCTGCAACATTGTGGACGCCCTGCGCATGCCTCACCTGCACGAAACCCAAAATTGGGAATAAACTACCAGAGCGTTGGAAATGGAGAAAGCTTTGTAAACTTTGAATTACCAGATGAAGAATCTTGACGTTGTGAGTTTGAGCTGCGGCGTCGCACATTTTGGTGATGGCTCGTGAAAGGAAGAGCAGAGCAGAGCAGAGGGAGATTCGCTTTGGAAGAGATGGAGGGAGTCAAATGGAGGAAATTAAATTGCATGGGACGTGGAGGCCGACCAGCAGCAGAATGGCATGTGATGTGATTCAGTTTCCGTCACTCTCTTGGCTGTGGTTTCCGTTTTCGGTAACAGAAAAAACAAATATCTGTCTAATACAATCATCATAAACAATCATGAATTTGTACAATGGCGATGCGCCGTACTTGGGCCGGCACTGCACGGGCACGCTTCGGGCCAATTTATTTCGTGTCGTGCTTGGCACGGCCTGTCAGCTTTCGTGTCGTGCCATGCAAGCCCATTTGTTAACTTTGCTAGGCCCGGTCCAGGCCCAGGCACGGTTCGAATCGTGCCGTGCCTATTCGTGCTCGTGTCATGCTCGTATTCGTATTTAATCAAAAGGACGAAAACAAAAGAGGGAATGAAAAAGAAGGTGAAAATTGGACGGAGGAACATAGTATTAACCGATAATGTTTGAGAAAAGTAACAATTAACAAATAAGGGGGAAAAGAAAATTGGAAGTATAGCGAGTATGTTTTGACTTTGTTTAATTCTTTGTCCATTTTTACTTATGTTAGTAATTACGTATATATCTTTATGACACTTATGTAATATTTGAACCTATAATTCTTTTTATATTTATTTTCTATCAAATAAATATTCTTTTCGTACCATGTCTGTTCTTATACTAAATAAAGTCTCGAAAATATTAGGCCCAACACGGGCCACTTATATACCGTGCCGTGCCCGTGCTCATGAAGTTTAGGCCCGACACGACCCATAAGTTATTCGTGCTCGTGCCGGGCTGGCCCATTTATTTCGTGCTCGTGCTCGTGTCGCACTCTAACCGTGTCGTGCCGTGCTAGCCCGTGGGTGGCACGGCCCGGTGCCCACGTACAATCATGATCCATTTTTAGATTCTTAAAGTAACACGAAATATATTTGTCATCTACACTGTGAAGTAAATTCATTTTTCCCTATGTGTCTAACTAAACAATCATTAGCAAATTGGTCACAATTTAACTTCGAAAAATTATCTTAGTATAGCTCAAAACTGTAAAAATATTATTTCTATACTTGGAGTTGCAACAGATAGAGTCAAAACTAGATTTACAAGATAGAAATATCGAGTTCTGGGTATATTTCAATTGCAAACTTTTTTTATAGTATGGTAAATTGATTTATCTTAGCTTTTAAACCTTAAATAATTTGTATTATAGTGATAAAATACTCTTACATGATGAGTTCTGTCCTTGATTTATATGTATATGTGAGTACTTTAATTTTACCCAATTCAATCGTATATAGCATTGGATTAGGAGATGCCTGGATACATGCTACGAAAGTATATGCACTTTTTCCCCCCTACATATATTCGTATTTTGATTTGGTTGATTAAGACCCCTTGTGTTTTGGAGTTTAGTAGGCATGTAGTCGGCATCGCTGCCTGAGGTTGAATTGCCCATCTAATTAATTAATGGAGGATACAATACAAGGTGCTTCGATGCTTGCTGCCACAAGTATGTACCATATCACTCAAACTTTCCTATGTCTATAACTTAACCAACACTAGTTTTTTGGGTAACGTTTCGCGGCGGTAAGCAACTATAACTATATTTAGAAATTCATCTACTTATTTTATAATATAGTTGAATTCAAATAATCCACAAAATCGTTCAAGTTAGATACTGTCATATGCTTGTTTAATAAATTTTACGTAATATGTTAATCATTACGAAAGACTTATGTTATATGCTTGTTTAATTGATACATAAAGAAAAAAACTATATCCTTATTACTTTTACGTGTATAACCTTAATATCATGAAAGACTGACTTGATACATTTGTTAACTGATACATAAGAAATAATTATCCCTTTATAAACTTTAGGTAGTTGCTAAATCATTAAGGGAGACTTACATAATTGATATATATAAGAACTAACTATTCGTCCATAAGTTTTACGTAATCAATTTGTAATTTACATATATATGCTATAGAACATTGTTAAGTAAATCTTCTGAAACATGTGGTCTAATAATAAAATTAAGTTACACAAATTATCATATTTTATTAAACTTTTATCTAAAATTTATTGACCTAGGAAAGTATTTGTGGGATTTAAATTGATAATACGTTGAATGTTTTATTAATAATGAATGATTTTCAGTTAATAATAAAGTAATTAAGTGAAAGAAATATCATATTTGATTAAACTATTATGTGAAAATTGCTTAATTTAAAGATTTTTCGCTTAATGCAAATTGATGACATGATCGATCTTTAGCTAATAATAACACAATTTTTTTTCCAAATATATATATTATGAAATATTTATGTATTGTGTATGTTTAATTGATACGTAAGAAATAAGCTTACATCCATACGTTTTTTGCAATGTATTTTTAATTTACATAATTGCTATATAATTGTGTTTTTTAATTATATGTATTTTTTGGCCTAATAATAAAATCAATTTATATAAAGTATAACATCCTTTTGAAAATTTTGATAAAAGTTAACTGGATTAATATAATTTTTTTGTAACACAATTGATGAAATTGTGAATATTTTAGTTAATAATAAAGCAATTTATTTATATTGGAAAAAAATAATCACATAATGGCCTTGCCTAACATTTGTGTAATGTAAATTGATAAGTTGATCAAAAATTTAATTGTAATATGTATATTTTTGTTTAAATTTATATTATGGAAAACTTATTAATACCTTTGCTTAACTAATACATTAAAAATAATTTTCCCTCCATAAGAATTACATAGTGTATTAATCAATATGGAAGACTTAGTTTTTAAATTGATACATAAGAAATAATCATTGCTTTATAAATTTACATAATGTATTTTTAATTTACATTAATATTATGGAATGAAGTTGTGTAAATCTTCTATAATAAATTACAAAAAGAACAGATCTTATTAAATTATTCTGTTAAAGTTAACCGACCTAACCAAAGTTTTGTGTAATGTAAATTGATAATATGATGAATATTTTAGCTCATAATAAAGAATTTTAGTTCATAATAAAGAATTTTAGTTAATAACAAATTAATTAAGCTACAAATCACCAAATTTTATTAACTATTATATAAAAAAATAAATTTCATTGCAGAACCTTGTGTAAAACAAATTAATGATATCTTCAACAATTAAGTTAATAATAAAGAAATTTGATTTGTTCAAACTTATATTACGACAGATTTACGTAATTAGTTTATTTAATTGATACATTCTCTTTGCCCCTTAAGTAGAAGGATTAAAAATACAATATATATTTATCTTTCTATAAATGAAGGGTTTTAAAATCGTAATGGAGCTAAAAATTCATATAAGAAATATCTATCTTTCTATAAATTAAGAATTTTAAATCATATTGTAAGTACAAAAAAATAATAATAGTGGTAATGGGTTTTGGTTTTCTCCGGAAGCATTTTTCGGTCGGTTTATGATAATAATGGATGGTAAAAAATGTTGCAAAGATTTTGGTTTTCTCTAGAGGTTTTGTTGGGCTCGGCTGCAGCTAAGAATAGCAATAATGAACAGTACCTATGGAGAAAATGTTGCGAGGAATAGTGGATGATACTTGCGCTATTAACTAATTAATTAATTACATACTAGTAAGGTCGACTGGGCTCATTGGATGTTTATCGCCAAATAGATTTGGGTAATGGGCTGGGATTGTTTAATGACCAGCAAGGCCTTTGGTCCAACTCAGTGCGAGAGCCCAGAGCAAGCAAGGTGACATTGACTTTAGGGCAATGCTCGATACATCCATTCAAACCTTCATAATCAAGTTAAATGAATGATTTGCCTACACGGTGAATAAATCCACCTCCACATCTGTGGACAAGTGATATCATGATGTTAAAAACACAGGGGTCTTACCCCTTGTTTTCAAGGAAGGAAGGAATTTGAGGGAGAGGAGGGAAAATTTGAGGGGAGAGAAAGTAGAAGGGCAAATGTTGTTTTATGGAGGAAAATGGAAGAAAAGTGTGAGAGGAAAAGTATGTTGAGAATTGTGATTGATATGTTATTTTATTGATAATTTAAGGTAAAATACACTTGTATAGTCAAAACTTTTGCGTTTGTGTCAATAATAGTCAAATTTGAAGAAATATCACTTATAGCCAGATTTTCTAGTTGTTGTATAACAAATATAGCCATTTTCGTTACAAACTTTAACAGTGTTAGATATTCCGTCAGTGAGGTTAACAATATGCTAACTAGTACGCCAAATCATCGCACACGTCAGCAACATTACAAAAGGTCAACTGCCACGTAATTATTTATTATTTAAAAACAAAATAAAAATCCAAAAATAAAAATCCATTATCCTTATTCCTTTTTCTTCATCGGAGCCTAAGCCCCAACCTTTTCCCAGCCACCGCCCACCCCCTGCATCTCCTTCCTCCCTTGTGCATCTTGCGCTCATTCTTCCTCTTTCGTAATGGGCCACAAACACCACTCTTTTCTCCGTGCACCAATAATCTGTGACAATCGCAACTATCCTTTTCACCTGCGTAGAGCATCAGATGCCCCTTTGGCATCGATTCTAGTTTTCCCACACAATAGCTCTTGCTCCACCTGCAAGTAGCCGGATTTTTCGGGACAGAACGATTTGATTCTGATGGTCAATCGGCGACCCCAGTGGTGAGCTTCGTACTTGGCTTCGTGCACCACCCTTGCAGGCCTCACTGCTGGTCGTCGCTCCTCTGCTTCAGCAACCCGAATCAGGAGGCTGGGATTAAAGAAAACGCTAATCCCACCGGTGACCCGATGAGAAGCACCCACACCCGAATGTTCCCGGATAGGCTTCTTGGCACCGAGCTCCATGAATGCAAGAAGGAGTCGAGTGATTTTGAAGAGAGAGGGGGGGGGGGGAAGGGGAGGAAATCGAAATCCTATAATTGTTACCAAGGGCAAAAACCAGTGGTTGTGTGGTTAGCTCCGATGTGGGTATTTATGTGGGAGAGGGGTTGAGATTGGGAAATAAACGAGAAGGACAGAAGTGGATAGCATGATTTTTAGGGGGAAGAGGTTTGATTTAAGCGAGAAGGACGTCTGATGGTGAGAGGCAGAGAGTGGGATAGAGTGCGATTTAGGGGTTGAAGAAAACAAATCCAATCTCTGCCTGAAGGGATTCAATTTCCGATTAGTAGTTTTAGAGGCAAACAGATTAGGCGCTCTTGGGGAATATCTGCTCGTTCCAATGCCCACTCCTCCATCGCTGCTCGATCTGGCAACACCCCGAGGGTCTAAACCCGCCGCTGACGTCGTCGTCGAAGCATCTCCGTCTTGAGAAGGCAGATTTGTTCACAAGAAGCTTGTACTTAACGAACGCATCGGAGCAAGGGTCGGCGACAAGAAGGAGATTAAAGCAAGAAGATTGATTGGCGGATTTAGGCATTTTTTTATAGAAAGGATCTGGGCATTTTTGAAAGAGAAAGAAGACGATAAAGATGAGAGGAGGAGAAATGATTTTGTTTGTGGGTTGTCATCATTTTGGGAAGAAGAAAAGAATCTTTTTCTTGTTGTTCGTTGATGGAGATGAAGAATCAGAGAAAACGAGAGCGGCAGTGATTTCCAAGATGGGAAAGTGAAGAGGCTGTGGAAGACGACGAGGATTATTGTTTTTTTTATATTTTTTTATGAATTTATTGCTTTTTTATAATTTTCATTTAATTTAATTAAAATTAAAGAAAAAAATAATGATTTTCCACCTGCCATCATATCTCAATAAAATATGCCATGTCAACTGTTGCTGTTAGTCTAGTCATCATGTTAGATAACACCGTTAAAGTATTGGACGGAAGTGGCTATAAGTGGTATTTCTTCAACTCTGGCTATTATTGGCACAAACGCGAAAATTTTGGCTATACAAGTGTATTTTGCCATAATTTAATGATAATTTTGATGTTTGGGTTATTTTGTTGGTTATATGTTAGGTACCAATGTTTTGGTGTTTCACTTTAATGTATTATGGTTTCTAATTTTGAAGCATATTGTTCCGGTGGATTTAAAGTCAATTATAATATCAGACATTTTGATTTTTGTTGCTAATGTAGTTGTGATGGTGAGTATCAATTTATAGAAAGGGACATACAATGAGAAAATTTTCTGTCTAGTTCATTTACTAACTGTGAAAGACTGAAAGTTTAATAGTAGCAATAATTTAGTAGCAATAATAAAAATACTTAGGTGGGCAAGGCAAAACAAAATAAACAAGTACTCTATAGCATCCAGTGCATTTGATCCACCACCTTGCATGTGCTGAGTGCTGACCTCCTTTAAGCGCGGAGGGTGGAGGAATATATATCGGATCCCGGAAGAACATTAACACTTGAACCTTTCTTTCTACCGTTACTTAAGGAATTGTTATCGAATTGTTATCGGTACAGTAGTGGCCGTGGAGCCTTTCCCCCCGAACATATATATATATATATATATATATGACTAACTCATCATCATCATCGAATAAAACCTAGAGCAAAACGTCAGCAATGGCTGCCGCCGATTATGTTGTCGTCTTTCTAATCACGCTTCTTTCACTAGCTTGGTCCCCGGCTATCGCCACCGACGACAAGCCGCTTCAGGATTATTGCGTCGCCGATAAGGGCGGAGGTATGCATATGAATTACCTAGACGTACGGCAACGCACAAATATTTATACTGCCCGGTTTAGATTGTCTTGGAGAGGTGGTAAATGGATTGGATTTATGGGTTGGTGGATCCATGGATCAAATGAATTGGATCCAATGGGTTGGTGGATTCATGGATTAGACCAAAATGTAAATTTTGAAAAATTTAGGTACTAAAATGTCACAATAAAAAATTTTAGGTACCAAAATGTAATTTTCCGATGACATTTTTCGTATAAAAATATAAATTTTAGGTATCAAAATGTAAAATATAAAAAATATAGGTATCAAATTGTAGTTTGTCATTTAAATTAGGTGGATAATTTGGTGAAAGAATTGTATTGGATTCATGAATTTGGATCCTAATTACGATAGAAGCATTCATATAAATATATATATAATCCGCTTAATTACTGATGTTTATTTATCATTGTGTGTACAATGAACACCATGCATGCAGTGCCGATGAATGGGTTCGCTTGCAAGTCGCCGCAGTCGGTGACGGCGGACGAGTTCAGCTTCAGCGGGCTGAACAAGGCGGGCGACACCAACAACCCGGCGGGGTTCAAGGCGACGCTGGTGACGGTGAACCAGATCCCTGGGCTGAACACGCAAGGCGTGTCGATGGTCCGCCTCGACTTCGCCGCCGGCGGGGTGAACGCGCCCCACATCCACCCGAGGGCCAGCGAGATGCTGATCGTGATGGAAGGCTCCCTCGAGGTCGGCTTCGTCACCACCCTGCCGGAGACGAAGCTCATCACCAAGGTCCTCCAGGCCGGCGAGGCCTTCGTCTTCCCCCAGGCGCTCACCCACTTCCAGAGGAACGTCGGCAAGGGAACTGCATTCGCCATCGCCGCGCTCAACAGCCAGAACCCCGGGACCCAGCCGGTGCTCGCCGCGGTTCTCGGCTCCAACCCCAAGATCCCCGTCGAAGTTGTGGCCAAGGCCCTTCAGGCCGACAACAATCTCGTCACTCAGCTCCAGTCCAAGTTCAAATGATGATCATCATCATCGAGTGCACGGAGGATAGTTTGATTTAATTAATTCATTAATTAGGAGGAGATTAATGGACAAGGTTTTGAGTAGTATGGTTTCAGAAAGAAAATTGAAACGAGGTTGAGTGAATTAAACTTGAAAAGTTGGTCTATTGGAGTTTTTTTTTATGATTCCATAAAATTATGTAATGCACAAGATTACATAGGGTTCGTTTGGATTGAGTATTTGGGGTCAAATAATAGATTTTGTGTTATTTGACCCCAAATAACATGTTTGGCTGACAAAATGTGGGATGCGTTATTTGGATGTAAGTGTTTTGCCAAATAACAGGTTTGAGACCAAATAACACAAAAAGTATTGTTTGCCAAATACTTGAGAGGGGGCAGGTATTTGCCAAATAACAAGTTTGAGATCAAATATCACATACCAAATAACAGGTTTTATATTATGTGGTATTTGTGTGGTAATTGACCCCAAACAACAAGTTTGTCAAATACTCAATCCAAACGACCCCTATATATTTGCTCTTTCCGTTTATTTGACCCACCACAAGAAAACTTGGTCTTTGAGACAAATAACTACTTTTGAGCCCTAGAGTGCTTTATTTAATCAAAAGTCTAAAATATATTTGGAAGATTTGAGATTCGAGTATAGTTAGTAAATACTCCGTTTAATACACGTATATGTACCCGTACGTACTTTATCCGTTTAAAACTTCCGTATCCGTATTATTGTCAAGCCGTTTCATTAGTTTCCGTTCATTTGACGGCTCCTGTACTAAACACGTATAAAATCCGTATAACACGTTTAATATCCGTATTTAATGAAATAAATTAACAACTTTACTATTTTTTACATATTTATTTATTTATAAAAATAATTAATTGTATATATTTATGACTACTAACGTACTATTAAACGTAATATTAGCTAAGATATGAAGTATAATACCCGTACATATTTTATACGTAACTTTCCCGTACCGTATTTTACTAACTATTCATTCGACAACTATAATAGTCTTAAACTATCATTATATGTTAATGTCAGCTCTTAAAAATTCCAATTATTTTTAGATATATATTAGTTACTATATAGATGATTTATGTGTTCTTAATTACCTATTATCGATTTAGATGATTTTTTACTATATAGTTTCAACTCATTAGATGATTAATTTAATGCTTTCATATTAGCAATAGGTTAATACCTTGAAGTTTATAATGACTATTTGGGTCTACAATTTAATACCAAACCTTTCATTTTAAACAAAATAACAGCCAAATGTTTTCAAAAACAATAAAATAGTAAAAGTGTTAACTTTTCGTTCGGTCAATTGTTAGTTGACTCAAACGTGGCAAAATATTGAGTGAGATGGATGATTCCTTATGACGTGGCAAGAAATAAAATGTTTGAACTTGCCACATAGATATTATATAAAAATGATTTTATTTATTTTTACCATAAATATAGCGGTTTGAAAACAATTGACATGGATATTGTGTTTGGAAGGAGAAAATGCGCGATTTCGCGAGAGCCATTTTTTTAGTGTGGATGTGAAGCGAACCCGCGCGAGAAAAAATAAAAAACAACCCAGCTCCCGCGGATTTGCGCTTCTAGTTTACTTGGAAATCGCTTTTCCCTAGGGATGGCAACTTTGCCCATGCCCATGGGTTTCTTACTATCCAACCCAATTGGGTTGGGTATGAAATCCAAATAGATGGATATGGGTAGAGTTTGATGGGTTTGTACCCATACCCATTTACTTTGGGTTGAGTTGGGTTTATATCAAATGGATTTGGGTTTGTACCCATGCCCAAATACAAATTACAGTTTGGTACCCAAACTTAATAGATATGCATATTTAGTAGCTAAAATTAATTTTTTTTGCATATAAGTCCTCAAAATATCGATGGAAAATTACGTTTTGGTACCTAAATTTTTTTGGTCTTACATTTTGGTACCTAAACTTTTCAAGTTTTGCAAATAGGTCCAATTTTTGCATGTGTAGTTAAAACACCCTCAAGTTAATGGATATCCATATCCAACCCATACCCATTTAGATTATGGAAGCCCCAAACCCAAACCCATCTATAAACCCCCAAATCCATATGCACTTCACCCATACCCAACCCATTATCAATGAGTCTACTTGGGTTTGGGTATAATTACCCATGGGTGGGTAATTTGCCATCCCTACTTTTCCCTGTCTTCCCTCGCCCCACTAGAGACCACAAATCTCGCACCAGAGCCCACCAGACCTCGTTTTCTTTTTCTTTCCTTCTTCCCTCGCGCGGATCCGCAGATAGATTTTGTCTCCCTCCTCCTCTCCCACCTCTTTGCTCGCACAGATCCGCCCAAGAAGCTTCGTCTTCCTCCTCTCTCATGCACCAGATCTGGTTTCATCTTTCATCTTCTTCTTCAAACGTCGAGCGACGGCGGGCAAGGATGGCTGACTCCGACCATGATTCCGGCGAAGAGGAAGCTATTGTCGAAGGATAAAGGGGTCGTGGAAGAGGGTGGCGAGGTCGCGGCCGCGGCCGACACCAACGTAAGGGAAAGGTCCCCGGGAGAGACTGGAACCTCGCCGCCGGTGTAACATCCTGACATTGGGTTTAGGTTCGGTAGAGAGGTTCGATTGAAAGTTTGGATTGGCGATTACGTACGAAGAATTGCCGCCGTGAACTAGAAAATAACAATAATAATTGGTACTAATATTATTATTGTTATTAATCACCACCACCATTTATTTGTTCTCACCTCCGACAGGAAGCAGTAACAAAAAGGAGGGAAGGGAATTATATATATTTATATATAAAAAAAAAGAATGGGAGGCGAGAATGAGAAGTTGGGCTTAAAGCCCAAAAGTTTGCTAGTGACCCGGCGGCAGGAATTAGAGAGAGAGGGTGGGATTGAGGCCCGAGTGCAAGGAAGGAAAGAGGAATCGTCTTCCTCTGGAAAGCTCGACCAGGAGCGTGGAAAGAGGGTGAAATAAAGACAGAGGAACGGCAGGTTGCGGGGAGGAAGGTAAGGCAATCGATCAGGCCTCTCGGCGATAACGGGCGTAGGTTTTGGGTAACGGAAATGGCGATTTCAGATTTTAATTGGGACTTAATGGCTGATGTATTTAGGGTCGTTAGCTGATCGGGATTGGGTTACAATGATGAGAGGGCAGGAGAAATCGAAAACCGAAGAAGAAGAGGTGAGCAGTGAGCATCTGTCCCTGGAAAGGCTAGATGGAGCCGGCACCAAGGGGAAGAGGAGCGAGGTGGATCCGAACGAGGGTAGTGGCTCGGGGACGCAAGAAGAGGCCCGGAAGCTTGACGACGGCGAGAAGCTTTGCTGTGGACTCCGACGTTGGCAGGGTGAAGGATAGCACGGAACCGTCGATGAGGCCAAACGCTTACCTACCCAAACGACGTGGAATCTTGGCAATCCGGCATTTCCCTCCGAACTGTGGTCGGAGAGGGGAAGTCGAAGGTGGGATTGACGGTGGCGGGGGTTTCTCGCGGAGGGCGGCCGTTGACGAGGCGATGTTCGAGGAAGAAGAAGAGGAACCTGAGGAGTCGGTCGTGGATGGGTTTGAGGAGGAGGAGGAAGGAGGCAATGACGGTGGCCGGAGCTGGGGCGGCAACGAGAAAACCGTGAGGAGCGACGGCGAGGTAAGACGCTCCTGCAATTTTGGAGTCAATGGCATTGAGTTGGAAATTTGATGAATAGTCAAGGACGTATATGTCTTTTTGGAATTGGGGGAGATTTGGTAAAATTAGGAAGTTTAGGCGCCGTAAGTTAATTGACCAGGCTTGGGATGAGTTCGGAATTGGTAAATATTTGGGTACCGGATTGAAATAAGCCGTTTGGACTGAAGTGTTTAAATCAGAAAGTGGAAATTGGTATGAAGGACTGAATTGAGCAATTCTGGAAATTTGGGGCCCAATTGTAAAACCTGGGAATTTCGAGTACCATTTGGTAATTTGCCGTTTTGGGGCAAAAAGGTAATTTTCCAGAATTTTATGGGGAATCTTAGGAAAGATTAAATGGAGGAAATTGGGATTGAAATTAACCAAATTGAAGGTCGTTTGGTTAGTTAAGCTTAGAGATAAGTGAGTTAAGTTTTGCCTAAATATCTAATAGGAGGAAATGCAAAAGGAAGCGAAGCACGAGGAGTTGGAGCGTGGAGTTTCGGAGGATGACGTGGGGCAACCGTCGATTAAGAAGAGTCGTCTTTTCGAGGTGAGTGTAAAGGGGGTAAAATCTCCGTCGTAGGTCTTTTAGTTTATGCTTTTCGTTCAAGTTATTAATTAGTTAATTTTTTTTAGTAAGCGCGATTATGTGTGTGAGGCATCCCACCGCCTGTAAAGGTGGAGGCACGCGTTGTGCTTATGTATGTGTGTGTTTATGATGTATGGATGATGATAATTGAACCCCCGGGCGGTTGGGCCACTACTGGACGCGGTAGATGGTCGGGTCACTACTGGACGGCGATACGTAACGCAGTAGTTGACCGGGCATGGACTGGACGGCGATACGTAACACAGTACCATTGCCTTGAGGATAGGGACACCAGACGGCGATACGTAACGCGGTGATTCCCTAGTAATAAGTATATAAGTTAAGGTAGTAGTAGAGAACTTCTATGAGTTAAGGATAAAAGTTGAGAAATTCTATGAGTTAAGTTGAAATGAGTTGTTAAGGATGAAAGTGAGAACGACTTTCATCTAAGGAAAGGAAACACTAATAACGTGTTTTAGTAAGGAGGTTTCTAAGGGCAGAGACCGTAGGAGGTAACGACGAGACTGACCCCTTCTCACTCACCAGGTTGAGGAAGGGATAGCGGAAGTGGATCCCGAGAAGAAGTAAGATGAGGCGAGCGGCCGTGCCAGTACTGGTGAGATGTCAAGGAGCTGGGTGAAGAGTTAGAGTTAAAATTTGGAAGTTATTTTATGGTTATGATCATGAGTATATGTACTGGAGATTCCAGGTTCAAGATTCTGTTATAAGTCGTTTTGAGTGTTTGAGTTGAGATTTTGCCCAAGTGTTAGGGCTTTTCGTTTGAAATTCTTAAATGATGTCAGTTTGTTTATTTTAACATGTGGTTTGGGTTGCTCCGGAGTAACCGGTTTTTGGTTTGAGTTATGGTTTGGGTTTTGAAAAGAGACGGGACGTTACAGCCGGCGAGTTATTATTTTTTTTAATAATTATTTTTTTCGTTTTTCAGCTCCTAGGATTATGGATACTTATTACATGAGGCAACCACCCGCGACAATTAATCCAGCTCCGATCGATTAGTTACTTCTTTGGGCACATGGTCAACATCGTACCGACTCAGTTTGGACAAACGAGGTAAGTCTTTCATAAAAACAATTTTTTAAAGTTAATTAGCTAGTTAGATTAGATGTTTAGATTAGATAGATTTTACTAGGCTCCTCTTCCTCGTCCTCTCCGTCATCATAATCATTATCAAATGGCACACTTCATGTCTCATCTTCACCCTGACTAATTTCACCATGTATCAGCACCCAAGCAATAAGGGTTTTGTGTCATAAAATTGGAAAACACATTTAAGCTATCATCATCAAGAATAGGAATCGCATATTGAAATAGAACATCATTCTACCATTCTGGAAGTTTGTAAGTGAAAATTTTAACACCCTACCCTATACGTTTTGCCTAATCATATTGTTCATACAATTGCAGCGGAAATAATCTCGGTGTTACATTAATTATCAAAATTTACCTAAATAAAATTTCGACATGAATTACTCGCGTAATGGGCTAACAGCTCTTGCAACTTATCCTGCAAAATAATTCATCACAAACATATATACTCGCACCCATATGCATTGGCTTTTCTTAGCCATAGCCACACTTTTCATACTCCACAACTGCATACCATACTTATACATACCATAATCGTCACAACTTACACAGTTACACAACATATACACATATCATCAACTTTCCACACCTGTGGATATCTCACACTACATCAGAAGCTAGTATGCACATGAAAAACGTTCTCAAAACATTTTTACAAAAAGGTGTGGATCACTAGCCAAAATCCCGAGTAGTAGTCCAAGCACAGAATAGTTGAAGACTATACCTCATCTTGCCTTCAACTCTTGCTCAGCTCCCACCTATACACCTATCTACTGCTGCTGATGATGATCTGGTTACACATAACATAAGCAGAGAAGAAGAATAAAAGAGGGTCAGCTCATAGGTGAGTGAGATAATCATAGCATCGTGAGTTCATAACAGACCATACCCATATCACAGATCTAACAATCAAGCCAAAACACTAGGATCGGACCTCAGCCATCCTCATATCCCAATAGGCAAAAGACTCAACCACCTTGACTTATGCATATGCATCTTATCATGTTTTAATCATAGGCGTCTGGCTACTCCCATGCTAATTACTCTCCCGGGAATACGGACCAAACATCTCGTGGATGTGGTCATATCAGACCCACCACTGCCGGTGTAGTCATATCGGACCTGACACCACGCTGGGTGTGGTCATATCGGACTCAACACCACTCTGGGTGTGGTCATATCGGACTCAACACCACTCTGGGTGTGGTCATATCTCATGATGAATCAACGGTCAACACCACATCAGGGGTGTGACATAACATATCATAACGGAGTAATAGCATGGGGAGCCCTAATTACTATGTAATTGACCATGAGACCAAAGTACTCTTACTTGGTATCCTTATCCATGATCCATATCTCATCTTGCTTAATCATAATTCGCTACTTGCACATGTACTTGACCTGGCCACAATTGACTCAACATAGGTAAATCAGGAGTCGTATAATTGCACTTCCTCGGGATAAACCCTCGTGCCAGTCACCCTCCTCAAACGTCATAATATCACCATGGAATATATATTTTCCCACATGTGCATCCAAATACAATAATCATGAAATATCATACCCAATCACCTTTTCGAACCATCATATGGCATATCAACAGTCAAGCCCACAAATTGCAACATGTATGCAATCATCAACATAAACAAGGTCCATATCGGCTAGGGCAAGTCAATAATATCATACAACAATCCATGGTTCATCATATAGCATAAAAGTCCATACACCCCTAATCATGCCATTCTAATTCACCTAGGTCAATTCTAAGCATCAATATAATTATCGTGATACGACAAACCCGGTACTAATCCCTCACCAGTTCTGGTCATTCAAACACCGGATCTAGCCTCCCGTACTAAAACGTCAATTTCACGAACGAACGCCGAATTAAAATCCGAGACCGTCCTAATATCCCCTGCAGTATCCCCGTCAATATTAGTTCTAGGCTCCGGATCAAATTCTCGATAGGAACACATCAAACCCTCGTCGGAGCTAAATTCAGTGATTTGGACCCCGACCTAAATAATTGCCGAAATTCAGGGATTAGAACTAGAGGATTGATTACCTAGCTGCAGGAAGCTCGTATATGAAATTTGGGCTCAATCCGGCTTCCGGATACTCCAAAACCCTAATTTGGCTCATCGAGAATTCAAGAAATTCCTGAACCAAAAACTCGTTTTAAAGCTCTAATCGATAAATCACGATGAATAGATGAATTAGGCATTACTTAAGGGATTTTTGGATCACTAGGGCTCAAGAATTTGAGCTTTGGAATTTCTCCCCGAGCTCCCCTGTTTGCTCTGCTCGGCTCGCTCTGTTTCCGTTTCCCCTCGGTGGAAAGTGAAAAGAAGATGAAGATGGGATTTAAATGGACACGGGATATATAATATATATATATATATACTTATTCGATCGATAGATAATCCAATTTTCGTCGAAATACTATCAAAACGCTCGATTTTAAATCGCGAACTTTCTAACGATCGAAAATATGGGTTTTGCCGGAACGGGATATTACAATTCTCCCCTCCTTAAAAGATTTCGTCCCCAAAATCTAACCTTGAGTCGTACTCTAACTCCTGTTACTTACCCTTGACATGGTCTATCGTAGATAAACCATTACCTAACTCTTAGGTTAGGTGATTCACAACATAGAAAGTAACACATAACAACTCAAGTTCCCATGTTTAGGTTTCAAAAACCTATACTGGGCTATTACAACAAAAGCACATCAACAAGTTCAAAACATAACTTACTAGGCAAGATTGTTAACCTTTAAAGTAGGTCGCTATCAACTCAGGGTACTTCTCTCGCATACTTGCTTCAGTTTCCCAGGTAGCACTCTCACTTTCTTGATTCCTCCACACAACCTTCAACAATGGAATTTCCTTCCTACGAAGAGTCTTAATCTGAAAATCAACAATCTCAACTGGAACCTCCTCAAAAGTCAAATCTGGACCCAATTCGATTTCTTCTGGTTGTATAACATGGGAAGGATCCACTTTGTACCTCTTCAGCATACTAACATGAAATACATTGTGGATTTGGGATAGCTCTGGAGGCAATGCTAGTTTATATGCCACTGGTCCAATCTTCTCTGTGATTTCATAGGGTCCAATATACCGAGGTGCAAGCTTTCCTTTCTTACCAAATCTCATCACGCCTTTCCAGGGTGACACTTTGAGAAATACTTTCTCACCCACTTCGAAATTAACTTCACGCCTAATCGTGTCAACATAAACTTTTTGTCGATCTTGAGCCACCCTTAAACGCTCCCTTATTTCCTGGACCTTATCAACTTTGATCTAAACTATCTCTGGCCCTGAGATTTTCCTTACTCCTTCTACATCCCAACATAATGGTGTCCTGCAATTCCTCCCATAAAGTACTTCATATGATGGAACACCCAAACTACTATGGTACTGATTGTTGTAAGCAAACTCAATCAGGGGCAAATGGTCAATCCATGATTCTTCCCATTGCATTACACATGATCGCAGTAACTCCTCCAAGGTAAGGATGGTTCGTTCACTCTGCCCATATGTTTGAGGATGATTGACTCACTTCTAATGTCACTCCAAGAATTGGCCAAGTGGAACCACTTCCTAAAGCGTAGTATAGCGGGTTTGGGTTTACATGTCAACCCGGGTCCTAGATTTGATGACTACTCAGTGAATTCTTGTTATCTAGCAATGAAACTTTAATGCAAATCTTAACTAACAAACTAACAAAGTAAGTAAACAGTTGTATTCAGGTTAAGAGAGGTCACCCGGATATGGTTCCCCCTAGACTGCAGTTAAGCCGGATTGTAATTACCAAGTTCAGTTTCTATGATAGTTATACTGCGGAAGGTTCTGAAACAGCCTGAAGTCTCGACTAAAGGTCTTCAGACCCTCTCAATCTGAATCTCTAGCGGGCGACTAACCTCCACCGGAGTAAACAGATTGAGGCCTTAACAAACAAAACCTCCACTACCGGAGTAAATCCGGTACAGAATAGTGAGTTGGCTCCTCGACTAAAGTCACCAACTCCCTACCTTCAATCAAGGATGCTCTATCAACCTAGGCATATATTCTCATTCTAGGTTAAAGCAGAAACAACAGGAATTTGATCAGGATTCAAGTCATTCAATCATTCAAACCTCAATCGAATATAATCAAATCATAGAATCAGTACTTGGGTTCATACAATCAAAGCCTAACATACAAATCTAGGGTTCTCCATACCCAGATGAATGGGAGAACTACTCCATGGAGAAAGAAGCAAAAGCAGAATCAGACGCGGAATTCATACTGTGAAGGATGGATTCCTGCTTCTGGACGTTGATCGACACTTTTCCAAGCTCAAACTGGCCTCCAATGGTGATGAAGATCAAGCTAGGGCACTTGGAGACTCTTGTTCGTCGCTTTCTCTCTCTAGGAATCATTCTATCTCTCTCAAAACTCGAATCCCCTTCTCTTTGGCTGAAAATATGCTTAAAAGGGCATCAGTTGCCAAAGCACGGTCGAGGGCACGGCCGTGTAATGCCTCAGCCCGCCCGTGCTTTGGCTAGGGTTAATTACACGGCCAGTGCATTGGGAGAAACACGGGCGTGTTTGATGATGGACACGGCCGTGCTTTGGTGGCCACGGCAGTGCTTTGTCTAAGCCCTGCCCGTGTTTTTAGCCAATGTTTGCCAAACTCGAATTTGCTCTCGGCAGTAAAAGCACGGCCACAGAACACTGCCGTGTTCTGTTTTAGGTGTGCCCATGTTTTGGCTCCAGCTCGACGAAATGACTTCCGAATGCCTCGAAACTCGTTCTTAGCCTTTCCTTTGACGCTTGGGACCTGAAATATGACAAAATAGCACAACCCGGCGTAAAATAGGCCAAAAATACACGACTATGCCCCTCAAACAGATAAGAACTAGGGGCACAAATACGTGCAATTACATTGTTATCAAATTCCCCCACACTTAACCGTTTGCTTGTCCCCAAGCAAACCAAGTCAGACACAAGGTAAGCTCAAAACAACAAGGCATGACATATCCGCACAAAACACGTGGATCATACTGGCTTTCGATCAGTAACACATGGACAACTTCAATGACAACCTAGACAACCACCACAGATGACATTCAAATGCAGTAAAATCGAGCAAAGGAATAGTCTCCCTTCTGTTCACCCACCAACATAGACTTGACTCAACCACTTGTTCAAAACAGTCACGTCATGCACAAAGTTCAAGATATCAGAATTAAGACCGAGCAATCTAGGTCCTCACCGGGATAAAGAGTATAGAGAATAAGAGAAAATGAATCGCTCACTCTCGACCAGTGGGGTCAGGACAATATGATGCGAAAAATGCGCATGCTTGATCTCTCAATCCCTAACATCTCTTCATCATGAATGCAGCCTATAAGTGCTAGAGTTCACATATGGGGTGTCATCACTAACTAATCCGGAGGTCTTAGACACAGGTTCAGATGACTGGATAGGGTCTTGGACATGGGGAAAAGGCCTTTTAGGTGGTGGAAGTATTCATACAACACAAGGTTCCACATTTCCAAACCCAACAGACTCACAATCAATCAAACCAATAACTTTCTTTCTGCTATTCTGCATTACTCAAGTTCAGAGCACAAGAGCGAAGGAGGTTACATAAATGCTAGTATTTCTAAGCCAGACTGCTAAGAAACACTATTTCAAATTTTTGGTGGTGGCCCTCTTTTGCTTTCTTTTTTTCCTTTGATTTTCTTTCATTATTTTTCATTTCTTAAGAGAACCACCACCTCTGCACAACTTCAAACACCTGCCCAACTTTTAAGCACTACCTCCAACCCTCACATTACATTTAGCAGAAACAGCAGAGAACATGTAAGAATCACTATGTGGAACCTTCTAAAAGATGCAAAAGGGTGACTTTTCATTGAAGACCGAAAGAAAGAAAACACACGGCTCAAAGGGGCTGACTAGGGGTATGACACACCAGGACAGTCAATTTGGTCGTGGGCTAATCCTATGCCTCCATCATCTTAGCTAATACAACGTGAATGCTGCACATCATGGAAGAGGAAACTATCGCACAAGAAAGAAACGAGCAGGCTCAAATCTCACATGGCTACCTATATGCTCTATCTCTCGTTCTGATTCCCTGAACTAGATGCATAAATGACTGTCAAAAGCAAGTGATCAAACCAAGTCACATTTGGTGAGCAGACAGTTGAAAAAACTGAACCCCTACACAATTCTACTGCACATCTCAGTCATCACAATAAGTTGTCTAAGTCACACTCAAGTTGTCATGTATCAAGTCAAAAGCCATTCAATTCACTAATCACATCCATAGTGCCAATACGATCAATCATCAAGCAAACAGTCGCGCTTGGAGCCCTCAAATCTCAAGATTTGGACAGTGGACTAGGCTCCAAGCACACATATATACGTTCCAATTCATACAAAGGACCCCCCCACACTTAAACGCGACAATGTCCTCAATGGAGCAGAGGGAAGGGGAACGATGTTACCGTGAAACAGTGGTCAGGAACGTGGACTGGAAGGCGGACCAGTTAAAAGAAGGGGGCACAGAGCTAGAGACAACAAAAACACACACACTGGGTGATGGAAATCAGAGTACCAAGTCTACAATCCAAGATAAAACAAAACAAAACAAAACAAAACAAAACCATAAAACACGGAGTCTCAGTGTGGAAAACAAATAAAGCACAAAACCCGCTCTAGAAGGCATCACCACCATCGCCGGTGGGTGGAGGGTACTCATCCTCAAACCCTGAGGACTGCACGAACGGGTAGTGGACCGCATTCGGGTCCCTCATATCGAAAGATATGGACAGTGGACTAGACTCCCGGCGAAACAAGCATACCCATCATACGAGATTGACACAGCAAAATACACCGGGGACCCTCAAATCGAGCGATTCGGACAGTGGACTAGGCCCCCGGTGAAACAAGCATACCCAAACCCGTATGAAATAAGCACCAATCGATCCACCACACAAAAAACCATACTAGCCCGCATACAATGCAACATGCAATCATCCCAATCATCCCCCAAACCCAAAATATTCCCAAACCATTCATTCCACAATCAGAAGTTCTTCACCTAACTCTAGGTATCGATTCTCCATAAATATAGGGAAAGACAAGGAGAACACACCTGGAGACGTAAGAAGAGACCACGAGAGAGGTGAAGCAAGTGGAAAGAAGCACCCAAAGTCGTCGGAAAACACACCGGAGACTCGCCGGAAAACTCACCGTCGGCGACCCAACCTCAGCCAAACCAGCCCAAATCTTTGGGGAATGTGCTCCTCGACGCCAGGAGCGTGGGGGCGCTCGCAATTTGTGATTTGGAGGTCGGGATAGGAAGTTATGGCCGGAAAATCTAGGGAGAAGGTGAGGGGGCCGAGTTTCCGGCGAGAGGGGGCTGGGAAATTTGAAATAAAATGATCGGGTGGGTTGGGGGGGCTGAAAAATCGATTTTATAGGGGGGGGGGGGGGCGAAATACGGGCGTGGCAGCCGTGTTCTGCCTGCTCCGCGCCCGTGTTTTCACTGCCGAGGCCGAATTTCCTTCTTATTAAAACACGGGCGGGCTCTTTGCAAAACACGGCCGTCTTTTCGAAGGGCCGTGCCCGTGCTTTTTATGTCGAGGGCAAAAGGCAAAACACGGGCGGGGCAGGGCAAAACACGGCCGTGTTTTGGCCCCCTGCTGATCGTGTTTTTACTACCGAGCCTAAAATGCATTTTTTTCAATTTTCAATCGCAAACCACCAAGATTCATTCGTGCCCCGGCTCTAAAATTTACCCAATCACACATTAAAAAGACCCGCCCGAGGCACGAAAAACTTTCCAGACTGACTCCAGACAGACTCAAAGACTCAAAAACCGACAAAAATGAAACAAATAAATAAAAACAAAGGGTAGAAATGCAAACCGTGGTGGGGTTGCCTCCCCACAAGCGCTTCTTTACCGTCTTTTAGCTGGACGCCAATTGCGGAACTAAGGGTCCGCGAGCTCCACTGCCAACTCCGCACGTTCGACCTCGTCTCCCAGGTAGAGCTTGAGACGATGGCCATTCACTTTAAACAGCTCAGTTTGCGGGTTGGCAATTTCAATCGTGCCATACGGGAACACCTGTGTGACCGTGTACGGTCCAGACCACCGGGAACGGAGTTTTCCAGGAAAGAGCTTCAGGCGAGAGTTATAAAGGAGAACTCGATCACCAACTTGGAACTCTTTCGGACCCCGCAACCGTGCATCGTGCAGGCGCTTAGTGCGCTCCTTGTACAACTTGGTGTTCTCATAGGCGTGATAACGCCACTCTTCCAACTCCAACATCTGCATTTTTCGCTCAACACCTGCAACACTAACATCCAAGTTTAGCAGCTTAAGGGCCCAGAAGGCCTTGTGCTCTAGCTCCACGGGCAAATGGCAAGCCTTTCCATAGATAAGCCGGTACGGTGAGGTACCAATGGGCGTCTTGTAGGCAGTGCGATATGCCCACAGAGCATCATCGAGCTTGGTGGACCAATCCTTGCGGGATAGGTTCACCGTCTTCTCCAAGATCCGCTTGAGCTCCCAGTTCGTCAGCTCGGCCTGGCCACTGGTTTGAGGATGGTAGGCCACGGACACCTTATGAGTTACACCATAGAGAGACAACAATTTATCGAATTGACCCTGGAAATGGGTGCCTCGGTCGCTTATGATGGCTCTAGGTGTCCCGAACCGGGAGAATAGCTGCTTCAGAAAACCACAAACACGTCTAGCATCATTGGTGGGCAAAGCTTGCGCCTCAGCCCACCTAGAGACGTAGTCAACAACAACAAGGATATATGTATTACCAAAAGATGGAGGGAAGGGGCCCATGAAGTCGATACCCCAGACATAAAAAATCTCACAAGTAATAAACACATTCTGGGGCATCTCATCACGGGCAGAGATGTTACCTGACCTCTGGCATCGGTCGCACCTGCATGCGAAGGCGTCTGCGTCCTTGAAGAGCGTGAGCCAGTAGAAGCCCGACTGGAGCACCTTCCTCGCCGTGCGGTTTCCTTCGTGGTGACCGCCAGCAGGTCCTTCATGACAGTGAGATAGAATGCCCTCCATCTCACTCTCCATAACACATCGACGGATGATCCCGTCGGCTCCGATCCTGAAGAGAAGAGGGTCATCCCAGAAGTAGTACTTCAGGTCGGAGAAAAACTTCCTATTGGCGTGAGTTGTCATCCCCTTGGGCAGCTGCTGGCCCACAAGATAATTTGCAAAATCAGAATACCAGGGGGTGACACTCTCCACCAGGCACATCATCATCAGTCTCTCATCTGGAAAGGAGTCATTGATCTCCTCCTCTAGGTTGTCCGCAGGGGGTGCGTCCAACCGGGAGAGGTGATCGGCAGCAACATTCTCCGCTCCCTTCTTGTCCCGAATCTCAATGTCAAACTCCTGCAGCAGTAAGATCCATCGTATGAGCCTAGGCTTGGCATCAGCCTTGCTCATCAAGTATCGAATCGCGGAGTGATCTGTATACACGGTCACATGGGACAAGACCAGATAAGGACGAAATTTATCGAAGGCAAACACCATCGCGAGCAGCTCCTTCTCCGTGGTGGTGTAGTTCTCCTGGGCATCATTCAAGGTCTTCGAGGCGTAGTAGACAGGTCGGAAATGCTGATCTCGCCTCTGCCCCAACACAGCTCCAACAACAAAGTCACTGGCATCGCACATAATCTCAAATGGCAGGGACCAGTCAGGAACAACCATGATAGGAGCTTGTGTGAGCTTCTCCTTCAAGGTCGTGAAAGCCGCTGTGCATGCATCAGTGAACTGGAAGGGGGCATCCTTCTCTAGAAGCTTAGTCAGGGGCAGAGCAATCTTCGAGAAATCCTTGATGAATCGCCTGTAGAACCCTCCATGACCAAGAAAACTCCGGATCCCCTTGACAGATGTAGGAGGAGGCAGCTTACTGATAGTCTCGATCTTCGCTCTGTCCACCTCAATCCCCATCTTGGAGATCTTATGCCCAAGAACTATGCCTTCTCGAACCATGAAGTGACACTTCTCCCAACTCAGTGCCAGGTTCGTTTCTTCACATCGTTTAAGGACAAGCTCCAGGTTATGGAGACAGTGAGAAAATGAGTCTCCAAAAACTGAGAAATCGTCCATAAACACCTCCATAATCTCGCCGACCAGACAGTCAAAGATAGCGAGCATGCATCGCTGAAAAGTGGCCGGGGCATTGCATAGCCCAAATGGGATCCTCCGGTAGGCAAAAGTGCCGAAGGGGCAGGTGAAAGTGGTCTTCGCCTGGTCCTCCGGTGCAATAGGGATCTGGAAGTACCCGGACATCCCATCCAGGAAACAGTAGAACTCGTGCCCCTCCAGTCTCTCCAGCATCTGATCCATGAATGGTAGCGGGAAGTGGTCCTTCCGAGTAGCGTCATTGAGACGCCGGTAATCAATGCAGACACGGTACCCAGTCACCGTGCGCATCGGGATCAGCTCATTCTTCTCATTAGGCACCACAGTCATCCCACCCTTTTTGGGTACCACCTGGGTGGGACTGACCCACTCGCTGTCGGAAATGGCGAAGATGATCCCCGCGTCCAGCAGCTTCACGATCTCTGCCCGAACCACAGCCTCCAGGTTCGGTGTCAGTCTTCTCTGCGGCTGTCTCACTGGCCGCATCTCATCCTCCATCAGTATCCGGTGGGAGCAGAAAGAAGGGCTGATCCCCCGGATGTCTGTGATCTTCCATGCGAGAGCTCGCTCGTACCGCTTCAGCAAGGTTACCAGTCTGGTCTTCTGCTCGGGTGTGAGGGTCGAGCTGATGATAACTGGCAGCTTATTCCCCTCCCGGAGAAATGCATACTCCAAATGAGGAGGGAGGGGCTTAAGCTTCAGCTCTGGTGGTTCCTCCAAGGAAGTAGCGATGCGGGTGGAGGATGAGATCGGTTTGAACAGCCTGTCGCCCTCCAAGAAGGGGCCACTCTCCAACTCGGCCAACTGCTCCGCCAGCTGCGGCTCCTGCGATGCCTGCTCACCTAGCAAAATACAAAGCTCAAGAACATCGTCAGTACCCGCACTCGTTATAGCGAGTGCGGTCTCAAAATCAGCAAGCATATCACAGTAATCTATGTCATCATGCAAATGAGAGTGTTTCCCATTCTCAGACACAGAAAAGGTAGCCTGTTCATCACTAGCACGCAGAATCAATTTACCACTATGCACATCAATAAGTGCCTTGGCGATGGCGAGAAACGGTCTACCTAAAATCAAAGGTACATCCACATCCTCATTTATATCCAAAATAACAAAGTCAACAGGATATGTGAATGCACCCACATTAACAAGCAAGTCCTCAATGATACCCCTAGGATGCACGATAGAACGATCAGCTAACTGAATGCTCATCCTAGTAGTTCTAGGTTCACCTAGGCCTAGCTTCTTAAACAAATTATAAGGCATGACATTTATGCTAGCACCTAGGTCCGCCAAGGACTTTCCTACATGCATGCTGCCAATAACAAGAGGGATAGTGAAACTCCCTGGGTCTTTTCGCTTCTCGGGCAGCTTGTTCTGCAGGATGGCCGAACACTCCTCGCTCAGCATCACTGTCGAAAGATCCCCAAGTTTCTTCTTGTTGGTGAGGAGGTCCTTCATGAACTTGGCATACTTGGGCATCTTTGACAGTGCCTCCACGAACGGCATGCTGATGTTGACCTGCTTCAACATTTCCATGAACTTGGCAAACTCAGTCTCCAGCTTGTCTTTATGCAGGCGAGTGGGGAAAGGAAGCTGAGGTACATGCTCCTTAACCACTGGCTATGGCTTGGGAGCAGGCGTTGTTGTGTCTTCCCCCACTTCTGCAGTATCAGCTGGAAGTGTTGAAGCAGGTAGTGGCTCATCTCGGCTGGGCTGCGCAGGGGCAGCTGATGTGGTCTTGCCACTCCTGGTAGTGATGGCATCAAGCTGCTGGAGCTGGTTAGGATCACGAGGATTCGGAACAGTGGTGGCAGGCAAAGTCCCCGGTGCCCTGTGGTGTTCTGGCGGGCCAAGATACCCACCTGGTTCTGCAGATCTTGCAAGATGGCACCCTGGTTCCGCTGACCTGCCTCCAGTGACGTGATAGCTGCCTGAGTGCTAGTCATGAATGAAGCTAGAATATTTTCCAGCTTCGTCATCTGAGTATCTGGAGCCGGAGCTGCTGCTGGCTCGGCGAACTGGCGCTGGGGCTGCTGGAATGGTTGCCCCTGCCTAGGCTGGTAGGCTGCTGCTGTGGGCCTGGCCCCTGTCGAGGCTGGTAGGGCTGCTGCTGTGGGGCTGGCCCCTGTCGAGCCTGGAAGGGTTGCCTCTGCTGAAAGCCACCAGCTGGTGCTGGGAAACCAGGTGGCTTAGTGGTGTTGCTGCCCCAAGAGAAGTTGGATGCTGGCGCCACCCCTCATTATAGGTGTTGCTGTACGGGTCGAGGCGCCGAGCATTGGCGATGAAGTCCAACTGCTCTTGGGGAGTAGTAGACTCCCTCATAGCCTGGCAGTCTTCCACTAAGTGATTCGAGCTCTCACACCACTGACATTGAGCAACTGGAGGTGTAGCCAAACCTCTGCCCGGAATAAGACTGTTGGGCTGCTTCAATGTCTGCACTAGCTCAGCTACCTGCTGCTCGAGCCCGGATCTGGTCTCCATGGCGTGCACACCACGGTCCCGGGAATGTCTGCCTCTGCTGCTCTGTCCCCAAGAATGATCTCTGGCAGCCAAGGTATTGATCATCTGGTTCAGCTCGGGTGGAGTCTTAGTAAGAATATCCCCTCCTGGGCATAGAGACTCAATCACCCTCTGGCTGTCTGGAGAGAGAGCACTGTAGAAGTTCCCCACTGTGAAAGCATCACTAAAGCCATGATGGGGACACTGCCAGAAGTATCCCATGTACCGCTCCCATGCATCACGAAGTGACTCATCTGGCTCTTGGCGGAAGTGAGTGATCTCCCGCTGGATCTCTGTAGTCTTCGATGCCGGATAGTACCTGTGCACGAATTTGTCAGCCAGATCGTCCCAAGAGGTGATGGACAATGGGGGCTGGGTCTCCAACCACCTCTTAGCATTCCCCGCCAGAGAATGGGGGAAGAGATGAAGGAGGATTGCATCATCCGGGACACCATTCAGCTTGAACCCGTTCGTCAGCTGCAGAAAACGGGAAAGATGCACCCTGGCCTCCTCATCCTTCAAGCCATGGAACTGGATAGAAGATGTAATGAGCTGAATCCAGCATGGCTTGATCTCGAAGTTGTTTGCTGGAATAGGCGGGTAGAGGATGACCGGGCGGATGTCAGCAATCCGAGGAGTGTAGTAGTACTCCAAGGTGGGGCCTGGCGGCGGTGGATGATGAACCCCATGATCCTGGGGTATGGGGTTGTTCCCCAGGACCTGATTCACCGGGGGAACCTGCTGAGGATTCCCCTGGTGCTGATTGTAGTCTCCGTCCATCTTGTACTCTTCTTCAGAATCGCTACTCAGGTGGCCGTCTATGTGCTCTTCCGTAGCCAATCTAGCTCGCTGTTGTCTCCTGAGTTGGCGACAGGTGCGATCAATCTCTGGATTCAACGGCAGTAAACCTCCTGACTGGCTACGGGTCATGCACTACCTGCACACACTCAAGCAAGCAAACCCGTGAAGGCACAAGTGGGACAAAGCAAACAAAGCAAAAAGAAAAGCTAAATTAACAGAAATCACTTTTCTTCAACAACCTAGCCGTCCCCGGCAACGGCGCCAAAAACTTGACTCACTTCTACTGTCACTCCAAGAATTGGCCAAGTGGAACAACTTCCTAAAGCGTAGTATAGCGGGTTTGGGTTTAAATGTCAACCCGGGTCCTAGATTTGATGACTACTCAGTGAATTCTTGTTATCTAGCAATGAAACTTTAATGCAAATCTTAACTAACAAACTAACAAAGCAAGTAAACAGTTGTATTCAGGTTAAGAGAGGTCACCCGGATATGGTTCCCCCTAGACTGCAGTTAAGCCGGATTGTAATTACCAAGTTCAGTTTCTATGATAGTTATACTGCGGAAGGTTCTTAAACAGCCTGAAGTCTCGACTAAAGGTCTTCAGACCCTCTCAATCTGAATCTCTAGCGGGCGACTAACCTCCACCGGAGTAAACAGATTGAGGCCTTAACAAACAAAACCTCCACTACCGGAGTAAATCCGGTACAGAATAGTGAGTTGGCTCCTCGACTAAAGTCACCAACTCCCTACCTTCAATCAAGGATGCTCTATCAACCTAGGCAGATATTCTCATTCTAGGTCAAAGCAGAAACAACAGGAATTTGATCAGGATTCAAGTCATTCAATCATTCAAACCTCAATCGAATATAATCAAATCATAGAATCAGTACTTGGGTTCATACAATCAAAGCCTAACATACAAATCTAGGGTTCTCCATACCCAGATGAATGGGAGAACTACTCCATGGAGAAAGAAGCAAAAGCAGAATCAGACGCGGAATTCATACTGTGAAGGATGGATTCCTGCTCCTGGACGTTGATCGGCACTTCTCCAAGCTCAAACTGGCCTCCAATGGTGATGAAGATCAAGCTAGGGCACTTGGAGACTCTTGTTCGTTGCTTTCTCTCTCTAGGAATCATTCTATCTCTCTCAAAACTCGAATCCCTTTCTCTTTGGCTGAAAATATACTTAAAAGGGCATCAGTGGCCAAAGCACGGTCGAGGGCACGGCCGTGTAATGCCTCAGCCCGCCCGTGCTTTGGCTAGGGTTAATTACACGGCCAGTGCATTGGGAGAAACACAGGCGTGTTTGATGATGGACACGGCCGTGCTTTGTCTAAGCCCTGCCCGTGTTTTTAGCCAATGTTTGCCAAACTCGAATTTTCTCTCGGCAGTAAAAGCACGGCCACAGAACACGGCCGTGTTCTGTTTTAGGTGTGCCCGTGTTTTGGCTCCAGCTCGACGAAATGACTTCTGAATGCCCCGAAACTCGTGCTTAGCCTTTCCTTTGATGCTTGGGACCTGAATTATGACAAAATAGCACAACCCGGCGTAAAATAGACCAAAAATACACGACTATACCCCTCAAACGGATAAGAACTAGGGGCGCAAATACGTGCAATTACATCGTTATCAATGATAAGCTGAAGTGAAATGCGGTTTAGTTCCCAAGGCATCATTTAAACTTTGCCAAAACCGAGATGTGAAGCTCCGGTCTCAATCAGAGACAATTGAAATTGGCACGCCATTCAATCTGACGATCTCCTTAATATATAGTTGAGACAAGGTCTCCAGTGATGGTTTCCATCTAATGGGTAAAAAGTGAGCCGATTTGGTCAGTCGGTCCACAATAACCCATACTGCATCTTTTCCCCTTGATGATGGGAGACCATATACAAAATCCATTGTGATTCTTTCCCACTTCCATTTTGGAATTGGAAGTGGTTGCATTTTTCCCACAGGAGCTTGATGTTCTGCCTTAACTTTCTGACATACCAGACATGTGAAAACATGTTCAGCCGCTTCCTTTTTCATCCCACGCCACCAAAAATATGGTTTGATAGTGTGATACATTTTAGTTGCTCCTGGGTGCATAGCATAAGCAGAAGAATGAGCTTCATCTAGAATCTCTTTCCTCAAGTTATCAACATTAGGAACACATGCTCTTCCATTCATCTTCAACATGCCATCTACCATTTCAAATGGGCTTTCTTTTCCTTCCTCAATGTCTTGAATGATTTTTGCCAACTCTCGGTCCTCCTTCTGCTTCTCACAGATTTTGTCGTGCAACAAAGGTCGAATGTTCAACCGAGCTAGTAACCCTGTTACACCATCCACTTCCAAATAATTGCACATGTTTTTACCCCTATTCTGGAGCCGTTTGAGATGGTAATTCTCGTGTTTTAGGCCGATTTTACGCTAGGTTGTGTTTGTTTGTGATATTTCAAGTCCTAGCAAGTGAAGGAAGGTTTAGGAGCGAGTTCGGGGTCGATTGGACGAAGATCGGGCGCGAGGCAAGTCGAAAAGGAAGCCACACGGGCACACCCACAACTCACACGGCCGTGCAAGTGACCACTTTGGCCGTGTGAGATTGTGCGAGCCTTCACACGGCTTGCCCTGATATCCACACGGCCGTGTGAAGGAGTGCTTTGGCCGTGTGGAATTCTGCGAGGCTTCACACGGCCAGGCATGGTGATCCACACGGCCGTGTGACCCTGGCCGTGTAGGAAGCCTGAAGTTCAACTAATCCGGACGCAGCGTTTTGAAGTCACACGGGCAACTGGGTATGCCACACGCCCATGTGGCCCTGCCTGTGTGAGTCGGGAATTCCTGGTTTTAACCCAATTTCGGGCTGCAAGAGAGAGGATCGGACTTTTTGAGCAAAAACAGAGCCCTAGAGAGATAACGTACGAAGAACACATCCTAGAAGCTATCTTGGAGCTGGGTTTCATCAAATCGAGCTTGCAGATCGTCATAGGAGTGGAAATCATCATCCCAGAGCAGATTCTTCCCATTGTAATGAGTATGACTGCTTTGTACCTTGTTTTCCTCTCTCTCTCTCTCTCTCTATGGAGTAGAACCACTCTCTCACTTGGGGATGAAGAACCCTAGTTCTATGTGTTAGGGATTGATTGTAATGACTTTGGATGATATTACTGTTTGATTTTAATCGAATGATGCATGTTTATTGAGTCAATTGAAGTCTGATCAACTTTTCCTGATTCCTGCTGCAATCCGAGATAGATAGAATCTGATTAGGTTGCTAGAGTCTCATCATTCGGTAGTAGGAGATTGGCTATACGAGAGTTAGCCAGTTTACTGCTTTGTACTGGAATCCAATTCCAGTAGTGGAGTTCTGTTCTTACTGCTTCAGCTTTCTATCCCGGTGAAGACTAGTCGTCTGCCGGGTAGTTAGACTGAGAGGGCTTGGTCAGCTTAAGAGATTCCAAGCTACTGCCGGATCTTCCACAGTCTAATCAACAGTAAATCAACCCAGGGAAATACAATTGAAACCTAACTAAGGAGCTAGGGGGACTCATTCCCGAGTGACTCTTACTTGCTTGAGAAAACCGTATCAATTCCTGCTTTCTTTCTGCTTTTGCTTTTACACAACAACCACTTAACTTAGTTGGCTAGATAATAGAGAATCGCTGAGTAAGCAGTAGATCTAGACCCCGGGTTGATAATATAACTTGTCACTTTACTGCATTCCCGGACTGCGATTATACTTGGTCGCAGTTTGGTGTTGTGTTTTAGAGCATCAATATTCTTCTTGCCTTTTCTGCTCAGAGCATCAACAACTACATTAGCTTTACCTGGATGGTAATCAATGGTTCAATCATAATCTTTCAACAATTCTATCCATCTCCTCTGGCGACTATTTAAATCCTTCTTATCCAAAATATACTTCAAGCTTTTGTGATCAGTTAGGATTTTAAAAGTCTCACCATACAAATAATGTCGCCATATCTTGAGAGCAAAAACCACCGCTGCCAATTCCAAGTCATGAGTGGGGTAATTTACTTCATGAGGACACAATTGCCTAGAGGCGTATGCGATGACTCTTCCATCTTGCATTAACACACAATCCAATCCTTGATATGAGGCATCACTATACACCACAAACTCCCCATGGTTTGAAGGTAAAGCAAGCACTGGTGCTGTGGTCAATTTCTTCTTCAGTTCATCAAAACTCTTTTGACATGATTCATCCCAAACATACTTGGTATTCTTCCTCAACAGCTTAGTCAATGGTGCAGCAATTTTGGAAAATCCTTCTACAAACCGCCGATAGTAACCCGCCATGCCAAGAAAACTTCTCAACTCATACAAATCTTTTGGTGGAGCCCAACTCACCACTGCTTCCACCTTTTTCGGATCCACCTCGACACCTCTTCCAGAAATTACATGTCCCAGAAATATTACCTCCTTCAGCCAAAACTCACATTTTGAGAATTTTGCATATAATTGTTTCTCACTTAGAATTTGCAACACAATTCTAAGGTGAATTTTGTGCTCCTCCTCGCTTTTAGAATAGATGAGAATATCATCTATGAACACAATCACAAACTTATCAAGATATTCCTGAAAAACTCTGTTCATAAGAGCCATAAATACCGCTGGTGCACTAGTGAGTCCAAAAGGATTTACCAGGAACTCATAATGCCCATATCTTGTTCTAAAAGCTGTCTTTGAGGTCGCTCCATCTGCCACTTTCAGTTGATGGTATCCGGACCTCAAATCAATCTTAGAAAAGACTGATTTGAGGTCACTAATACAAAGTTCATTACCCCCCACCCGCAATACATAATCATACTCTTCCACATTCACTTCACATACACTTTTCTTCTCCCAAATATACAACAGGCATGCCATTATTTTATATAAGCTTCGCACCGATGGTCACCATTTTGGCAATGGCGGATTTGTTGCTACCATTTCATTGCGAATCTTTCATCAAGAAATTCCAAGCTAATAGTGCTGCACCCACGGCCGGCTCTACCTGGATTTTTCATAACCAAACAAAACAAAGCACCAAAACGTAATGGGCTAACAGTTCTTGCAACTTATCCTGCAAAATAATTCATCACAAACATATATACTCACAACCATATGCATTGGCTTTTCTTAGCCATAGCCACACTTTTCATACTCCACAACTGCATACCATACTTATACATACCATAATCGTCACAAATTACACAGTTACACAACATATACACATATCATCAACTTTTCACACCTGTGGATATCTGACACTACATCAGAAGCTAGTATGCACATGAAAAACGTTCTCAAAACATTTTTACAAAAAAGTGCGGATCACTGGCCACAATCCCGAATAGTAGTCCAAGCACAGAATAGTTGAAGACCATACATCATCTTGCCTTCAACTCTTGCTCAGCTCCCACCTATACACCTATCTACTGCTGCTGCTGATGATCTTCTTACACATAGCATAAGCAGAGAAGAAGAATAAAAGAGGGTCAGCTTATAGCTGAGTGAGATAATCATAGCATCGTGAGTTCATAACAGAGCATACCCCTATCACACATCTAACAATCAAGCCAAAACACTAGGATCGGACCTCCGCCATCCTCATATCCCAATAGGCAAAAGACTCAACCACCTTGACTTATGCATATGCATCTTATCATGTTTTAATCATAGGCGCCTGGCTACTCCCATGCTAATTACTCTCCCGGGAATACGGACCAAACATCTCGTGGATGTGGTCATATCGGACCCACCAGTGCCGGTGTAGTCATATCGGACCTGACACCACGCTGGGTGTGGTCATATCGGACTCAACACCACTCTGGGTGTGGTCATATCTCATGATGAATCAATGGTTAACACCACATCAGGGGTGTGACATAACATATCATAGCGGAGTAATAGCATGGGGAGCCCTAATTACTATGTAATTGACCATGAGACCAAAGTACTCTTACTTGGTATCCTTATCCATGATCCATATCTCATCTTGCTTAATCATAATTCTTTACTTGCACATGTACTGGACCTGGCCACAATTGACTCAACATAGGTAAATCAGGAGTCGTATAATTGCACTTCCTAGGGATAAACCCTCGTGCCAGTCATCCTCCTTAAACGTCATAATATCACCAGGGAATATATATTTTTCCACATGTGAATCCAAATACAATAATCATGAAAAATCTACCATCTTGCATGACAAAATTCGTGAGAAGCATAAGGAGGACCCAGAGTTGGCAAATATCATTCAAGACATTGAGGAAGGAAAAGAAAGCCCATTTGAAATGGTAGATGGCATGTTGAAGATTAATGGAAGGGCATGTGTTCCTAATGTTGATAACTTGAGGAAAGAGATCCTAGATGAAACTCGTTCTTTTGCTTATGCTATGCACCCAGGAGCAACTAAAATGTATCACACTATCAAACCATATTTTTTGTGGCGTGGGATGAAAAAGGAAGCGGCTGAACATGTTTTCACATGTCTGGTATGTCAGAAAGTTAAGGCAGAACATCAAGCTCCTGTGGGAAAACCGCAACCACTTCCAATTCCAGAATGGAAGTGGGAAAGAATCACAATGGATTTTGTATATGGTCTCCCATCATCAAGGGGAAAAGATGCAGTATGGGTTATTGTGGACCGACTGACCAAATCGACTCAATTTTTACCCATTAGATGGAAACCATCACTGGAGACCTTGTCTCAACTATATATTAAGGAGATCGTCAGATTTCATGGTGTGCCAATTTCTATTGTCTTTGATCGAGACCCGAGCTTCACATCTCGGTTTTGGCAAAGTTTACATGATGCCTTGGGAACTAAACTGCATTTTACTTCAGCTTATCATCCTCAAACATATGGGCAGAGTGAACGAACCATCCTAACTTTGGAGGAATTACTTCGATCATGTGTAATGCAATGGGAGGAATCATGGATTGACCATTTGCCCCTGATTGAGTTTGCTTACAACAATCAGTACCATAGTAGTTTGGGTGTTCCACCATATGAAGCACTTTATGGGAGGAAGTGTAGAACACCATTATGTTGGGATGTAGAAGGAGCAAGGCAAATCTCAGGGCCAGAGATAGTTCAGATCACAGTTGACAAGGTCAAAGAAATCAGGGAGCGTTTGAGAGTGGCTCAAGATCGACAGAAAGTTTATGTTGACACGAATAGGCGTGAAGTTAACTTTGAAGTGGGTGAGAAAGTATTTCTCGAAGTGTCACCCTAGAAAGGCGTAATGAGATTTGGTAAGAAAGGGAAACTTGCACCTCGGTATATTGGACCCTATGAAATCACAGAGAAGATTGGACCAGTGGCATATAAACTAGCATTGCCTCCAGAGCTATTACAAATCCATAATGTATTTCATGTTAGCATGCTGAAGAGGTACAAAGTGGATCCTTCCCATGTAATACAACCAGAGGAGATCGAGTTAGGCCCAGATTGATCATTTGAAGAAGTCCCAGTGGAGATTGTTGATTTCCAGATTAAGACTCTTCGTAGGAAGGAAATTCCAATGTTGAAGGTTGTGTGGAGGAATCAAGATAGTGAGAGTGCTACTTGGGAGACTGAAGCAAGTATGCGAGCCCAGATGCTGTAGTTTATTTATGAAATTAGCATGGGAGTAGCCAGGCGCCTATGATTAAAACATGATAAGATGCATATGCATAAGTCAAGGTGGTTGAGTCTTTTGACTATTGGGATATGAGGATGTCTGAGGTCTGATCCTAGTGTTTTAGCTTTATTATTAGATGTATGATAGGGGTATGCTCTATTATGAACTCACGATGCTATGATTATCCCACTCAGCTATGAGCTGACCCTCTTTTATTCTTCTTCTCTGCTTATGCTATATGTAAGCAGATCATCAGCAGCAGCAGTAGATAAGTGTCTTAATATGAAAATACACTTTTCTTCTCCCAAATATACAACAGGCTCCTTCAGCTCAATTGGTGCCATTCTATTTGGTGCCATTGAAATTGGTGTTGTGCCAGGTACCAATTCAATATCAAACTCTACTTCCCTTTCTGGTGGAAGGCGGGGAAGTTCTTCGGGGAATAGATCAGGAAACTCCCTTACCACCTCTACATCCTCAACCTTCTTATCATTCACAACAGTAACTTGAGCAAGAAAAGCTACACAACCTTCCTTCATTAATAGAAAAGCTTCCAAGGCAGAAAGAAAACCATGAGTCTCCTTTTTCTTAATGCCTCGGAATACAACAGGACCTTTATCTGGTGTGTTGAATAACACTTCTTTCTTTTGACAATCCATAACAGGTCCATGTGTTTCTAGAAAGTCCATCCCAAGGATGACATCGAATTCATCAAAAGGTAGCAGAATTAAATCTGCTGCTAGGAAAGCACCTTCCACACAAATGAAGGAACTTCTAATAACTGAGTCTACCTTCAAGGTATCTCCCACAGGTGTTTTAACACATAAGGTATAATCTAGCTTATCTGGAACTAAGCGTAGCATATGTGCAAACGTATATGACATGAATGAGTGAGAGGAACCAGTATCGATCAAAGCATAAAATTGCTTGCCAAGGATAATTCATCAGACCTGGTTTTTCAATCAAAGCTTATAATTGCTCGCACGGAAGTTGTGAAAATGTTCCTACTGACCAATCGAGAGGAGTGGGGGCGGTTGATGCAAGACCGCCAGTATTAGACTATGCAAAGATGAAGAGTTTAGGTGGTAGGGACTTCAAGGGAGATGTGAGCCAAGATGCTGTAGTAGAGTGGTTAAGAGAGATGGAAGATGTGTTTGAGTATCTTTATGCGACCCCAGAGGAAAAAGTACAATATGTTGTTTTTCTCCTAAAGGGGTGGGCGAGGAGCTGGTGGTCCTCAGTCTCTAGAGTTAATGGTGAACAAGTTCAGTTCACCTGGGAAGAGTTCCTGAAGGCCTTTAAGACAGAGTTTCTTCCCGAAGCTTTTATCAGGGCAAAGAATAATGAATTAGCCAACCTTAAGCAGGAGAACATGACAGTTACGGAGTACACTAGCAAGTTTGTTCGACTACTCTACTTTGAAGATGGGTTGGCAGATACTGAGCATAAGAAGAAGATGAGATACTTACATGGTCTGCGCCTAGGGTTGAAAGAAAAGAGCTGAGTGAGATAATCATAGCATCGTGAGTTCATAACAGAGCATACCCCTATCACACATCTAACAATCAAGCCAAAACACTAGGATCGGACCTCAGCCATCCTCATATCCCAATAGGCAAAAGACTCAACCACCTTGACTTATGCATATGCATCTTATCATGTTTTAATCATAGACGCCTGGCTACTCCCATGCTAATTACTCTCCCGGGAATACGGACCAAACATCTCGTGGATGTGCTCATATTGGACCCACCACTGCCGGTGTAGTCATATCGGACTTGACACCATGCTGGGTGTAGTCATATCGGACTCAACACCACTCTGGGTGTGGTCATATATCATGATGAATCAACGGTCAACACCACATCAGGGGTGTGACATAACATATCATAACGGAGTAATAGCATGGGGAGTCCTAATTACTATGTAATTGACCATGAGACCAAAGTACTCTTACTTGGTATCCTTATCCATGATCCATATCTCATCTTGCTTAATCATAATTCGCTACTTGCACATGTACTTGACCTGGCCACAATTGACTCAACATAGGTAAATCAGGAGTCGAATAATTGCACTTCCTCGGGATAAACCCTCGTGCCAGTCATCCTCCTTAAACATCATAATATCACCAGGGAATATATATTTTCCTACATGTGCATCCAAATACAATAATCATGAAAAATCATACCCAATCACCTTTTCGAACCATCATAAAGCATATCAACAGTCAGGCCCACAAATTGCAACATGTATGCAATCATCAACATAAACAAGGTCCATATCGGCTAGGGCAAGTCAATAATATCATACAACAATCTATGGTTCATCATATAACATAAAAGTCCATACACCCCTAATCATGTCATTCTAATTCACCTAGGTCAATTCTAAGCATCAATATAATTATCGTGATACGACAAACCCGGTATGTCGTGCTAATCCCTCACCAGTTCTGGTCGTTCAAACACCGGTTCGAGCCTCCCGTACTAAAACGTCAATTTCACGAACGAACCCTGAATTAAAATCCGAGACCGTCCTAATATCCCCTGCAGGATCCCCGTCAATATTAGTTCTAGGCTCCGAATCAAATTCTCGATAGAAACACATCAAACCCTAGCCGGAGCTAAATTCAGCAATTTGGATCACGACCTAATTAATTGCCGAAATTCAGGGATTAGAACTAGAGGATTGATTACCACGCTGCAGGAAGCTCGTATATGAAATTTGGGCTGAATCCGGCTTCCGGATACTCCGAAACCCTAATTTGACTTATCGGGAATTCAAGAAATTCTTGAACCAAAAACTCGTTTTAAAGCTCTAAATCGATAGATCACGATGAATAGATGAATTAGGCATTACTTACGGGATTTTTGGATTACTAGAGCTCAAGAATTTGAGCTTTGGAATTTCTCCCCGAGCTCCCCTGCTCGCTCTGCTCGGCTCGCTCTGTTTCCGTTAAGATGGGATTTAAATGGACACGGGACATAATATATATGTATATATGTATGTATACTTATTCGATCGATCGATAATCCGATTTTCGCCGAAATACTATCAAAATGCTCGATTTTAAATCGCGAACTTTCTAGCGATCGAAAATATTGGTTTTGCTGGAACGGCATGTTACAAAAATTGTGATCATATAACTATCTTGTACTGTTTCGTCATTACGCTATATCCTCTGAACTAGATTCTCACAAAATTGATAATATGTCACCCTGCATGGAACTGTCAACTGAAAACTTCTACCACCAACGAAACCTACGCCCAAATTGTTCTCTATTTTGTTCGATTTCCACCGAACGATTAGTTTAAATCGTCTAAAATCACTACATAAAAATCAAATTAACTAATTACTAACTAAACAAAATCATAATAACATTTTAAGAATCAAAGTAAAAAAAATAAATGTGTCTCTTACCTAGCCATCTTTGCAGCAACCAGTAGCTCTTCGTAATATATATTTTTTGTGGTGAGAATACTGAAACTGAAACCCGCTTATATGGATCGGAGAAAGTTATCGTCTTGGGGTAAGAAACACGCGAGGAGGTTGCAATCCGAGCTTTAATGGTCGCCCAAGTGGATCCGCGCGAGAAGAAGTACAAAAACCAGTACATACAACAGCCCAACATTTTCGCGCGAGAAGGTTTATTCTTTTACACAGCTCGCGCGAAAAATGCCTTAGCCTAGCTAAAAAAATTTGCTCGCGCGGATTTGCCCTTTCTGTGCCTTAAAAACACAATATCCTTGTGAATTGTTTTTAAACCACTATATTTGTGGTAAAATTTAAAAAAAACAATATTTGTGTAAAAAGCCCCCAAAATTTAACGATGGATAATTGAGAAAATATATATAAAAGAAAAATAGAGGGAAAGCAGCCATGAGAGCTTGTACCTTAAAGTTAACAGAGCTTATTCTGTGTTTCTTGTTGAGACGTTGGGCCTTGCACCTCATCTCGGTTCTGATCCTAGTTACAGAGTTCTGTTTACCCATAGTACCTTGATTAACAAGTTTACTAAAAGACGGCCAAATGCAGAATGAACTTGGAAAACAAGGGCGGCGAAGGGAGGACAAAGCATGGGTCATAAATATGAACAGATCTTTGTGCTACAAAATCCCATGTGATTTAACATTCTAACAAATTCCAGTTTTTAAACAAGACCTGTGGAAGGAAAGGGCGACCAAAGCTTCGACAGCCTTAAACAATTATCAATGAATAGGAACATTGGATCACCTGAAGTGGGAAAATATATATAAAAGAAAAATAGAGGGAAAAGAAAATTATAACTGGAGTGGGGGAACAAAAAAGGAGAAGAAAATGGTCAACTATCCTCTTCCTTTGAGGTGCGGGTGGAGGCGGTGGCAAGCTGTGAGCTGAGGAAGACAGAATTGATACTTCTTTTATCCCTACACAATAAATCCTTGCAACAAATTTACAAAGGAGGCTCTGAAGTAGAGTCAACTGGTCACTCAACAGAGAGCTCCTTTTCCTCAATCCACCCATCTTCTTCCAAACCAATCCAGTTGGCACAGAGCATGAGTTAAACCGAGTTAGAACCAATGATTGAATCTGCAGTCAAGAATAATTCTTCACATTTAGTTGCTCTTTTCCATGTCATCGTCATCATTCATCTTTAGCCACTTCTCCAGCATTCTTCTCTTCAACTGTTTCTACATCTGCAGTCTTGCCATCAGCATCACCATAAGCAATAGGGTTTGTACCACTAGAAGATTGGTTCTCATTGGCCGAGTCAGTTGAGGGGCATTCAGCTGGAGAAGTAGAAGACTGCTGCTCACCAACAGACTCTGGACTGCCATCCTGACCACCCTCCACCTGATTTACTGCTGCGTCTATTTGAAGCTCGCTGTTGGGAGGTGGAGGAGGTTGCTTTGAACCAGATGGTGAACCATTATCAACATCATCTGGTGTTTCCCTCCATTCAACCCAAGCAGGTGGTTTATTATCATTTACTCCAGTTTCCGATTCTTCGTTCGAGTCTTTAGACAGACTAGTGTTCGCAGACGTCTCGTCCAGGTTCTTGTAGCATTCGTCGACTGATGGTGGTAAAGAAGTGGCTGTGTCACCTAAATCATCCTCTTCACTAGCTGCTGCTACATCCTCCGTGCTGCGAACATCAGTGGCAGCACCACCAGTCCCACCCTCGTCATTATTATTTGGTGAGGAAGAAGCAGGTGCACCAGCAGACCGCTCATTTGCAGCTCTGTCATCCTCGAAAGCAAACCAGTTGGAGTTTGTAAATAGCGAACTGCTGCAAATAAGGACAACTAGGATGAGCTAAGACAGTAATGCTAAGGGAATATGTGAGATAGATATTCATATATAACCAGAAATTGAAAAAGAAAGCGTCATCCTCCTAAGATCTAACTGCATTTCCCGGAAAGAAAATCAATTGTGATATTATAAGCAGCATGGCCAACACAATCACACCACCATGCAAAATGACTGATTTTGTATTGCTTTCTGATGTGTGGTTACAGTGCAATGTCTCCCAAAAATCAGAAGCCCCCTCGTTTAATGACGTATTAATTATGGCAAGACAACTTCTATCGACAAATCATGAAAGAACATAAAATGCATATGGAATAGTAGCAAAAAAACTAGCAATTGAGGAATCAGTAACAGGCTCACTTGTCCTGGTCATCACCCAAACGCAGAGAAGATATGACTACTTCAGCAGATTCATCATCGAAGTAGACATCCTGCCAGAATGAGTAAATGAGGAGAAAAAAAACTCTGAATCTGAAAGCCACTATTTACGTAGTATTCCTTCCCAGTGGAAATAGGTAATTGGCTTGACCAGCAATGAACTTTACCTCATCATCTCTTTCAAGTGAGCCACGCACCTACAATGGACATAAAAAAGTTTTAGCGGGTGAATACTGTTTAATAACCTCAAACTGGTTTCCATCCACAATAGGGGAGACAATCTAAGAAAGCTTTGAAGCTGTTGCACCACTATTGTAGTTTCTTTTATCTTCCTTTACGAGTTTCTTATGAACCATATAGAGACCAAAACATTTGACTAGATCATGGAAGGCACAACATCCAGTAACAATGCAGGGCAATCAGATAGTGCCAGTAACAATGAGGCACACAAGAATGACAAAGAAAAGCCTTCAGTGCTGACCGGTTCTTCCTACAACGCATGCTAAATTTTCCATTATTGTCAACAATTTCCCCATCCTTTCGTATTGCATACCTCATCCATGTCGTCATTGTTGTAAATACCATATCGGAATGCTTGACTCAAATTATTTGCAAGAGCAGCAACATCATAGTCTCTATCTTGATAATCATCATCATCACTATCTCTCCGGTCTTGCAGAGTAGTTGGCCTCCTGTTACAAGAACACATATGCTAAGAAGAAAGCTCCGTGAAAGGTCCAAGAGCAAAAACACAGTAAGATCACCAGAGAAGATACAAGAAGGTAAAACATCACTAACAACCGACTGCTGCTAGTGTCTTTGTTGATCTTCTCAAGCAAAACTAAATGTTTATGTGCTAAAAGTGTAAACTTAGCCAAAAGGAAACACAGGATATTGAATACAACATATACCACCACTATGCTGTAAATTGAGGTTTTAGGTTGATGGCACATCAGTTAATCGGCCAACTTACATGTCACCACACTTGACAAACTGTCCTCCGAAATATCTTGTACTCTAACAAGCTTTGAAATTAGTTGCAAAGACACCGAGGCTACAATTTAGTATACTTCCTCTCTCCTTATCCTTCCCTCTTTTTTCATTTTATCAAGAAGATGTAGGCTAGAAGAACTAATTGTTCACTATACAGAAAAGAGAGCCTACCCGCAGCCCCACTGGTAGACATTTTCTAGCACATTACGCTTGGTCAACACAGTTGTTTGCCAATCAATCCATTGAGTACTTTCCTGCAACAATAAGATAAGAACAAAGTCAAACAGATAAAAGATTGTCATGCATAACCAATCCGAACAAAATTTAACAAATTATTCATAATAAAGAAGCATATTGAACCTACTTAAAATGAACAATAATGCCCAAAAACTTCTCAATTAACAAACTTTTCAGCTTACAAGCAGTCAAGTCTTAATTAAATCTCTAACGAAAATTATATTAACCTGCAGAAGTGCTTGAACAGCAGAGTTGTTATTTGCCAACTGAACCAGTTTATTAGAAACACGTGTCAAGTGTCCAATATTCCCTATCCTAGGTGGCGATCTACCCTCAGCAGGGATAGTTGGCTGCAATAATTGAAACAAAAGTGATCAGACATCATAATATGAATCCGTAAAATGAGAATCTCAAGACAACAGTCAAAGCCAGATGTTTATGTACCTTGCTTGAATCGGTTGCCAATGTGAAATTCATTTCAGCTTCAAGTATTTTTGTCACAAGATTACATTCATGTAAAAGATGTTCACAAAGACAACCATTCTTGCTCTCCAAACACGAAAATATAATGCTCTCTACATGGTGGTGCAAGAAATTATTGTAGGGATACCTAGAAATACAGAAAATGAGTGAATAAACCAGGGGTCAGAAAATCAAGACATGCAAACTAGGACCAAAACTTACTCAAAAAACAAGTCTAAAATCCTCTGGATGGCTCCAAGTCGAATTAATTCCTTCTCAGCAGCTTCACTGCCAATGGTTAGGATGACTGA